TGATTGAGGTGGGAAGGCTCAGCCACTGTGGGTGGTACCATTTCCTGACTGGGATTCTGGACTGTATCAAGGGAGAATGGGAACTGAGTAGCCTCCATGCATTCATTGCTCCCTTCTGACACATAAGGTAACCAGCTGCTCCAAGCGCCCGCAGCCATGGCTTTCCTGCCAATGATAGACTATGTCTTAACTACAAGGTAGAAGAAGCCCTCTCTCCCTTAAGTTACATTTGTCAGAGTATTTTAATCACAGCAACAAGAAAATAAATTAAGACAATGGGGAATGTAAAGAGTGGAGCCCGGGGAGAAAAGAAGTGAAAAGAGTCAATCAAGAAACAGTTCAAGTGGAATTCAGCAATGGCTTATCCCCAAGAACAGAGGGGACAAAGAGAAGGGAGATACTGGGGCAGGTGTGTAACGGATTTTATTAGCATTTCCTTAAAGCTGATTCTGTTTTCCTCCATCTTCTCCGTCTCTTTTATAGGCTCCTCTGTTGCCACACAGTCTCTAAGCATTACAGAACATCAGGGTTCTGTTCCGAATCCTCTTCTCAACTCACTTCTCACTGTCCCATCGTGTTGTCTCATCTAGTTCTGTGATTTAAACTGTATTCTTCAGTCCTCTTTTGCCACAGAAGTCTATGTAAGAAACTACACTAAAGCATGATGACTTTTGGCAATTAACTTTTATTTGCCATATGACTCTGCAGATGGACTGAGTAGTCCTGCTGGCACTGCTACTTAGAAAAGACAAGACAAGACTAGGTCTGTTTTTATTATACAGGCTGGTTTCCTCACAGACCTCTTTAGTATCTGGGATTGCAGGAATGGACCACCATACTCAAGTGTCCTGCCATGGCTATAGGCTGGCTGAGGATAGCATTGGCTGGAATGACTGGGTCATGTAGCACATGTACCTTTTTCTTCTTCAATCATGAATAAAACAGAAGTCATACCAAATACTTTAGGAGCCTCTGGTCTCATGTTGTAGCATGCTGTGTCAGAAATGTAGGCAAACACACTGGTGTCCCTCCACAACGTCAGCCTGTGCTGAATAACAACAGATTCATGAGGTATGGTGGTTGTGTTGCCCACAGTTTGCCAAGTAGTCCTAATTTCCTTACCAGCCAACCTAGCTAGATAAACAGTTTCATTTGCTTCCATCTTACTGATTAAAAGTAACGCTCAGGTCACACAGTAAATATATCCTTATTTATATATAGACAAATGGATGGATGGATATGTACATTACAGAGGCCATAACCGAATTAAGGAGTTTCATAGAGGCCTAACAGAGGCAAAGGGAGAATCTGATAGGGGGTGCAGAAAGACTCTCTGTTGTAGGAGGGGTCAGATAATTAATCCCACTGGAAGTCTGCTGGGGGTGCTGCTGGAGAGTCAAGGCTTGAGCAACACCTTTGGGAGTAGATCTGCAGAAGTGAGGTACAGAGTATAGACAGAGGAGAAGGGCAGGATCACATCTAGAGAGATGGACTGGCAGATGGACAGACAACTAGCTGAAGCCCTTGGGACAACAGGGAGTTCTCTATTGGTCTCTTCACACACACACACACACACACACAGAGTAGTCAGATGACAGGTTGGTGGCCTTTTCAGCATTGTTAAGTCTCTTCCTCTTTATGGGGTCCAAATGAGGAAGTTACACCCTTTTCTCAGTCTAATGTATCTAACAAGTTCTCAGGCCTGGTTTACCTGGAATGTTTTAATATCCTATGTGTTCTATTGTCCCAATTTACTTGGATGAATTTATAGAGTGGCTATCCTTTCTATTTACAGGAAAAGGTTATCAGACTGTGTATCATGGATGGTGCTGGACAGCGCTGTTTATATGCCCATCAGGGTGCACTGTCATCCTACTTCTGAATCAAAATGGAGCCAAATGATGTTGGTAACATGGAGTCTCTCCAAGCAAGGTGGAGCCTGAAAAACCACTGTCTTACACAAGACAGGGTAGTCTAGGGTACTGCACAGCCTGATCAACACTGCATGGTGTTTGTTAGCATCCTGTGAGTCATGGATGGGAAACCACTTTAGTGTTATCAGACAAATGGCATGGATACAGGGAAAAATGAAAAACTGAAGCCATTTTCAAAACAATCTATATCCATATGCAAAAGCTCCCAATTTAGATATATAGATGTGAGCTCCTTCCTCTGCTCTAGACATGTCTATTCAATTGTTTAGGAGAATAGCCCATTTGCAAACTCCAAGCATATTTATCACAGGAATTTTATTTTCTTTCAAAAATCTTGTGTCTAATGCTTTCTTTCTCAATACAATACAATGATGCCATCCACTGTTGCTCAAGTCAGACACCTGAAAATAGTCTTTGACATTTTTCTCCCAATCAAGATCTATTAGTTCTACCTCTAAAATATCTCCTTTTAATTTTCTCTTCATCTTCTTCCAAGTTGCTTTTATCTCTCTTCTGAACACCTAAAAATACATCACTTTTAACTTTGATATAAAATCTCAGACCCTCATCAAGATCTTCAATTAAGCCTCCACCACCATGCTTTTCTTGTGCAACTTTCTCCTCACTTTTGAAATTCCTGTATCACAAGCCTTTGTTCATTATCCATTTACAGGAGTTTTCTCACCTCAAGGCCTTTGCCATGTTCCCAATAGCACATCCTGTATGATAAGAATATAGACGCCACAGCTACCCTTATAACTATGTGATCCTAAGTGAAACATGGTATCTGTAAAATGGGAATAGAATTGGCACTTATATCTTGCAGACATCCTATGTATCCTACTACACTACACCACCCAAAACACAATAAACAACATTTGAGTTTCTTAGCCAAAATTATTCAGTGGCTAGCTCCTACTCAAACAGATATTTCCTTATTTCTCCTAACTTCAAGACAATTTGTAATGATTTATTCCCTTTCGGCTTTGATAGTGTTCTTTGATGTCTTTTTTTTTTCCCATAAGACACTAAATTACATGATTTTCTAGCATCTGCAGCCTACACACCACCCGATTCCTACTATCTACAAAATAATCACATGTACAGATGTTAAATATTTGTTGAATAAATAAATAGTTGTTGTAATGGGCTCAAGCTTCTAGTTAAATTACAATCGGCCAACTGGAGTTCAAATCTCTCTTTGCCTAGCAACCTTGACAACATGGTAATTTTTAAGTTCATAACATCCAGTTCAGGTTGGTCTCTTTCTACAATTTTATGAAAGAATAGGTATGGCTTGCCCATTTGTCTTCTGTGAAAAGTCTTCCCTTCTCCCTAATAAGAAACAGACAGAGCTGTAGGGAAGGGAGATGCCTCAGTCAGTAAAGTGCTTGTCTCACAAGTATGAAAACTTCAGCTTGGATACCCAACACTCACATAAAGAGCAGGATGTAGTGTTGTTGCCTACAAACCTAGAAATGGGAGCCATAGACAGGAGGGTTGTGGAGTATAGTCAGCTGGTCAAGCCAAATCAATGAGCTCCAGGTTCAGTGAGAGACTGTGTCTCAAAAAATAAGTCCACGAGTAATTGAAGAAGACACCTGACCTCAACCTCTGGCCTCCACACACAGTGGCACATATATAAATATGAGGAAGAAAAATCTGGGTTATAGTGGCAGGAACACACAGAAATGATTACAGTGTATGGGGTCACCATATAGTATTCAACTGAACAGCAGTTATTAGAACAAAGTATGAATTTGTATCTAGTGATAGGAATTTGTCCTTTAAAATAAGCATGGAGAGTGGAAGTCAACAAACCTTATGCCAAAGGAAATTTCTGATGCTCTTCGTAGTTCATTATCATATAAATGTAAGAGCCAGGGAGGTGGCTCACTGGGTAAAAGCACTTGCCACCAACCCTGGTGACCTGCGTTCAATCCCCAGGTCACACCTGGTGGAAACGGAGAATAAACTCCTCCCTTGCCCTCTGACTTCCTCATGTGCACCACGCCCCCTACCCCCAAGCACAATATAACTCTTAAATTAAAAAGGTAATTGAAGTCTAGCTCTTGAGATATGGAAGTAGGCAAGGCTTGAGTTGTGCCATTTCTGTATACAGCAAAAAGAAAATAACATTGTCTAGGCAACAAAAGGGGAAATCAAGCAGATATTATTTTCTAGATTGCAGCCCACATAGCTGAATCCTTTGCCACCTGGACACTTATGTACCTCTAGTCATATCTACTGCCAATTGTTATGAAAGAGCTAGAAATCTAATTTTTTTTTTTCTGGTTTTTCGAGACAGGGTTTCTCTGTGTAGCTTTGCGCCTTTCCTGGGACTCACTTGGTAGCCCAGGCTGGCCTCGAACTCATAGAGATCCACCTGGCTCTGCCTCCCGAGTGCTGGGATTAAAGGCGTGCGCCACCACCGCCCGGCTGAAATCTAATATTTTTATATGGCTATGTGATAGCTATTTTAACTCATTTAATCTCCCTAGGCCATTTAATATGGGTAGCACGGCCCACGGTGATAATACTTGGCAAAACAGAACTATAAATTGTAATTATGATCTGAGGGCCAGCCTTGCAGTTTAAGGCATTTAAGTCATTAGCAAAACCTAAGCGGGCAGTTGTTTTAAACACTGGTGTTCAGAATTACTTATTTGTTAAAATGCAGGCTCCCTAGCCCAAACCCGAAGAAATCAATAGAGGTTGTACTTTTTTTTTGACTTTTAAGAGAGAAGCTGTCGAGCCAGTGATTCTGTGGCCGGCTATCTGTGCATGGAAACTAAACCTCGACTAGACTGTACCCCTTGCTGAAAATAAGCCGCACTGCAGCGTTCACAGCTTCAACGAACTCTGTCCGCAGCGCCGCCCCGTAGTCGGCAGCCACAGGGCAGCACTGAGCACGCGCGTTGGGCCGGGAACTCTGGGACGGCCTCCCGAGACCCCGCCCCTCTCCGGCTGGTAAATCTCCTATTTCCGGCTTCTCCCGGCTGAAGTCCCGGGGCCCCGCCCACGGCCCGCGGACCAATCAAATGCAGGATTGCTGAGGCTGTGGACCAATGGCCAGGGCTGTCTTTCATCGCTGCCCGCGGTTTGAAACTGTCAAGTGGCTGCTAGGGTAGCCGCTGTGCTGGCGGAGGTTGCGGCGGCGACGCTGGGGACGCCGCGAGGGAGGAGTCCGAGTTTGGCGGAGAAGGTGGGTACCGGCGGCGGCGGCGGCGGCGGCCCGGCCGGTTCCTCCCAGACAGGACTCGGGGCGTCATCCCTGGAGATGCCCAGGTAGAGAGGACACAAGTGACGCGAACTGAGCAGCGTGGTTACCAGCCCCGCAGGTTCTGTTCTTTAGGACGGAGCGGGAGATAGTCAAACGTGAGGTTGTGTTTTACTAAGAAAGAATTGGATTTAAATGGGGTTGGATTGGAGGGTGGTGGAAGAAAACCTGGAGGGACCGGCGCTTCCCCTCTCTTTGCAGGCAGTTGGGACGAGGGGATGTCACCTTCCTGCCAGGGGCACGTTGATTCGCCCTCTGTCTCTTAGGGGTTGCATTTGAACTCCTGGAGCCCGCTTTTCAGCTAAGTTGTACCTGTGGGAAAGAGGAGCCTTCAGACTATCTTGTGGTTTCTACTTAGGTTAGAGAATACTGAGAGTGTGATGGAATGATGTGTGTCACCCACTAAAGCAGGCATCGTTCTTCTGCTTCGTTTCCGAACCCAGAGACTGTGAGGAAATGCTACTGTTGTCCATTCTCAATTGTCATGCCTGCTTGCAAAGAGCAGGGTAAATGGCAGATAACGTATTTTTCCAAAAGCACAATCGTTTTGTGTCCGCAGTATATATTTAAGAAACAATTTTTGACGTCTGATCATACCAGCTCGTTTGTTACTAAAATAACCCGCAACTCCCATCTCTGGTTGCCTACCAGGTCTGCAAACAAATCATAAAGGAAAATGTAATGAAGATTAAAACGGACCAAATTACCACCATGGTTGGTTTGAAATCCGTGAAGCATTCATTCCTAGATGCAGATCCATGCTTATTTTGTCTTCCCTAAATGGCTTAATGGAAGACAGTCACAACTGAGATTTAGTTTATTTATCTTTTGTAAACATAGCAATACTGAATAAAACAGCAATTCCCTTCCAGAATCTGGCTGCAACCTGGCCTTCTATTTTGTGGCTTCCCTGTATCCCTTCCTTCTATTTCAATGTCTTTATCTCTTGTTTCTTTTCTTAGCAAACCATAATTGAGGCCTGTTCCAGTAGCAACTGAAACTGTCCCAAAAGACTCAACAACTTCCTGGTTGGCAAGCTGAGGGCCATCCTTACCCCTTTTTGGCCTATGACCCTCAGGATGTTGCCCACATGATTCCAGTGTGTGTTCTGGCTTTCTCTCCGGTCATATGACCAAGTCTTCTTTGCATCTTAAAAGTCAGCAGCAGGCCTTTAATCTCAGCCCTTGGGAGGCAGAGGCAGGCAGATCCCTGTGGGTTCAAGGCCAGCCTGGTCTACATGGCTAGTTCTAGGACAGCCAAGAGAACCCAGTCTCAAAACACACACACACACACAAACACACACACACACACACACACACACACACACACACACACTCAAAACAAAACAAAAACTTAGCAGTTGTAGATTTAACTGTCTTCTCATGGTAGCAGTCCTTAACTTTATTAGGATTATTATATCCTCTGAAATTATATTAGAAGCTAAACATCTTTCCAGAAAATACACATGTATTTATATTCTAAAAATGTGTGCAATGTGTGTGTTTGGTCTGCAGGATAATAATTCTTTACCATACCACAATGAGTGGTCCCATTCATTCCCCTTTATTTAGTAAACCCCAATAAGTCAGTGCCTCCTCAATCTAAATCTTCAGCCTATACTTGTAAGGCAGGCCTCACCTTTAGGTTGAGTTTAGGAACCATTATTACATTCTAGCCATTATGAATTGCAGTGATTGGAGCTGTGCACTGAATAGTCAGTGTACCACACAACAGCTATCCCTCTGTAACCACAGTCAGCTGATTGGTTCCCAGACACCTAAGTCTGCAGGTGCTCAAGAGACTTGTATAATATGGCATAGTATTTGCATGTAGCCTATTACGCATATCATCCTTCACACTTTAGACCATCTCCAGTTTACTTATAACCCTGATACAGTATAAATGCTAGGTAAGTAGTTGTTATGCAGTATTTTTCCGGGGATGAGGATGATGATGAGAAAAGTCTGCATGTTCAGTGCAGTTGCAACTTTAAGAAATATTTTTAACCCACAGTTGCCTGGATCCATGGATGTGGAAACCCAGGGACACTGAAGGCTGACTGTACCGCATGCCCACAGCTTTACGCAGTACTTCCGGGGCCACTTCATGCCAGTATACCTGGTACTGAGCTCATCGTCCATCCTCCAAGAGTCATTTTCCTGCATTCCTCGCTCTGGTGAGTAGTATCATGGTCCATCTAGTTACTCCAGACAGAAATCTGTGTCCTTTGAAGTGGCCATTGATTTGACCCCTCGTTTCCATTACCACAGCACAGCTGTCTCAGAGCCACACCTCCTTCCCCTTGCCAGTGCTGCATTCTAGTTCAGGACCTCGTTTGTCTCCTAGGTCAGTGCTGAAGACCCTGGGCTGCTGCATTACTGCAACTGGCTCTCAGTTGGCTTCTCTGTTTTAGAATCCCAGTCCTCCCTAAAGCTGTCAAGAGTAATATTTCTTTAATAAAAAAAAAAACAAGACTATGTTTGGAGATGTAGCTCTGCAGTAGAGCTCTTGCCCTGACGTGCATAGTTGCATATGGGTTCAATCCTTAGCACTACAAAAATGAATAAAAAACAAGGTTGATCACATCAGTTGTTTAAAACACTTAATATCTTCTGGAATGATTCAAACTTTTTTTTTTTTTTTTTTTTTTTCTGTGACAGGGTTTCTCTGTGTGGTGCCTGTCCTGGATCTCATCTGTAGACCAGGATGGCCTTGAACTCACAGAGATACGCCTGGCTCTGCCTCCCGAGTGCTGGGATTAAAGGCGTGCACCACCACCGCCTGGCATGATTCAGCCTTTTAATATGAAAGGTCATGATTGTAACTGTTCCTTTTTGTTTCTTCTTTACTCTCAGACCTTGCTTCAGCCTAACCGCATGCCTGGTTATTTTTAGCATCCACGCCACGCCTCTGTATCTTGCCCTGTGCTGCTGCTCAGTTTCATCTTTGGTCTGTCTTTCAGGGTGGACCTGCTCATCTTTCAGGTCTCAATATCTGGGCCATCTTGTCTCTCAGAGAGTTTGAATAGTTATTATTTGTCTTTTCAATTTCTTTTTTTATATATAGTTTTCTTTAGTTAAGACCTTTAGTCATTTCAATGTGTATATTTAGTATGTTGTAATGTGTAAACTTAATTTCCTTAATTTTTTTACAATAATATTCCCAACATGTAAATTCCTCAGGAAGGAAATTTACACCAATTGTTGGGCTGTCTTAGTTCAACATCTCACAGAAAGTATACAGTCCCTGAGATGTCACATAAAGCTGAAGAATGGTAACCACATGCTCTTATCTTTAACAGACCCTACTGGAGATTGTCCTGAAGCATTTTTCTTTAACCGTTCATGTATTTTGTTCATCTCTTTCAGTATATTATAGATATACTAATGTTTGGTGTAAGTCGTTTTTTTTTTTTTTTTTTTTTTTTTTTGGCCTGATGATTCTTGCCTGTAAGTACTCAGTATGTTGAGTGGGTGATTTCTTCTAAATGACATGAGAAGTGTTTACAAGTTAAAGCATTGCTGCAACCCCTTGTAACTACTTAAAAGCTTTGGCTTAAGTATTACAGGGAACAACTAGAGTTAACTTGTGTTGTTTTATAGTGTCTGTGCAGGATGTCATCTGATGAGGATAAATATTCAGTCCATGTTGCTCACGATAACTCTGATCCTGATAGTTCTGTCTCCACAGACCTTCAGGTAGGACGACATCTAAATTTATTATGATTTCTTTTAAAAGCGTATAAAGCCCTGTGTAATGGTGTATGTCTTTAATCCCAGCACTCAGGAGGCAGAAGCAGGGGGATCTCTGTGAGTTTAAGGACAACATGGTCCACATAGAGAGTTCCAGGATAGTCAGAGCTACAGAGAGAGACCACCACTCAAAAAAATCAGGACAGTGGTAATTTGTGGCAAAACCAGAAATACATTTTTCATTTACTTATACCATTTACAATGAAATAGTGCATTTACAGTATTTTCAAACTTAAAGAACTCTCTACTAACTTCTGGAGTATATTGTTTTAAGTTTTCAGAAAATAGCCATGAACTGTTCAAACTAAAACTCAAAGTTTCAGAAACATTTTCTGAAATGTTCTCATTTAACTACCTCTGCTGAGTGCTTTCATTCTTAATGTAAAGTAACAGAACGTCAGCCCATCTGAAGTTCTGGAGCCCAGGATACTCCAGTGTTCTCTGCAGTGAAGTTCTGGTTCCTGTTGCCACTTTGATTGGACACTGAAAGACAAGTTAGGAGAACTGAGTAGGTAAGGGTGTCTTATTTACATGAGAGATTCAACTCCCAAAGACCATATTTCCTAACCACCTTAGCTGCAAGGTCAAACCTTTGCCCAGGTCAAAAATCCTGGGACTTATTTACAGAAGTAAAGGAGAAATGGGTGCTCGTGGTCCCCGGGCAAGACTCCTACAGGACTCACATTTAGGCCTGTAGAAACCAATGAATACCTTGTATCTTATCCAAACTTATCAAGGAAAGGTTGTCTTGAATAACTGAAAAACTTAGGATTTCCTTTTATTTTAACAACCAGATATAATTTGCAGGTTTTTTAAATTTAAGAATATTTAAAGCTTTTTAAAGAATTATAATGTATTTCTTTCACCTAATGTTTAATGCATATGTGTATTAAAATAGACTCCCAAGTTGAAAGTCAAACCAACTCACTCTTTCACATTGAAATTTCACAATTTTCAAACAGAATAGTACAAACTCCTTTTACAATTTTACTTAAAATTCCAATGCTAAAACAAAGCTACAATTATACAGATTTATTTTATGAACTCAAATCCATGGCATTTTCTTCTAACAACAATAACAAAAATAAGCAAGCTGCCCCTGTGAGTATGGGCTTGAAAGTAGGTGAACAAAATGCCTGTGTTGTAGTTCATAAGCTTGAGTATCCAGTTTGCTTCTTTTGAGTTACAGAATGTCAAGACAATTCTGGTACCTTATGTGGTGGTGCATGCTTGTAATGCACGTACTCAGGAGGCCTAGGCAGGAAGAGTGCAGCCTTGCTAGCAACCTGGGTTACATGGCAAGTTCCAGCCTGGGGAATAGAGGGAAATCCTGTCTCAAAATAAGAAAGAGAGAAAGGGAGGGAGGAAAGAAAAGTAAAAGGGAAGAACAGAGAGAGAAAATAGAAACTGAGTCTCAGTTTAAGTACTTGAAATTGAAAGTGATAGCTTTTCAATAGCATGTCTTGTCTCATCTTCAGTTAAATTGATCTGAAATGTAAGAAAGAAGAGATAGAAAAATAGTCTATTGAATCACCAACATCTGTTACCTCTTTAAACTTTTAATTGTAAATATAAAAGTCATACCAGAAGTACTCAAAGGACTCAAGCTTAGCATAAGAGCTCGACTTTTCTGTATTGTGGTAAGAATGTGACTATTATGTGATTTGGTAGATTTCTTAACACAACAGAAAATGGAGTGGTCGGATGCAGCATTACAGCTGTTATAATACATCACTGTTACTGGCTTCTCGTAGGAAGAGTATGAAGAACTGCTTCGCTATGCTATTGTGAATCCAAATGTTGACTCCAGTGCTTCCCAGCCGTCTCATCCGAAGGGAGAAGTGGCTCCAGGTAGATTTCCTGCGCTCACTGATATGCTTTGCTAACTAGGTTATGTGCAGATACCACATAAGATCCTGGGTTTGTCAGTGATGCTGACGTGACTGGAAGCGTTCCTTACCATCAGCGTTTTCTTCTCAATCCATGGTGTAAAGCAGTACCATGTGGGTCTGCCTTATATTTTACTGTGTTGTTCCTGGCTCCTTTTATTTAAACTTCAGTTGACTTTTAACTTTATGAAAGTTACTAAAGTCAAAGCAACCCAGTAGCTATTATCTCTTAGTGGACTCTATTATGTCCCAGTTTTTGATCCAGAAGTTGTATGCCAGGATTACTTTGAAAACTAAATGCCCAAGCCCATCTTTAAAGAAGATCCTGACACTGCCCTCCAAACCCCTGAAGTTACTCTAGAACCAGCAGTCCCGCTGGTTCTTTCTCAGCAGTACTTACGTGGGCACGGAGGCTGGTTTGGATTATAGCGCAAAGGTGGACCTTCTTGTGGACTGTCGCAATAGATCTGGTATCTGATACAAGCCAAGTTGTGCTTTGATAGAGGGATTAAAGGTAGAAACAGAAAGGAAGCTCATTTTACCTCTTCACGCCTTATTTAGTAAAGTACAAGCACAAACAACTCATTCTGAGTAAGCGCTCTGTTTTTCATATATTTATTCGTGTATGTGTGTATGTACATGCCTACATGTGCATGCCAGCAGGGGTCTGTTCTGTCCTTCCACTGTGTGGGTTCTAGGGATTGAACTCAGGTTGTCACGCTTGGCAGCAAGCATCCTTACCCACTGAGCCCTCTCATGGGCCCTTTGAGAGGGCCGAGATAGCCAACATGGGCAGTCTTCATACAGTTGGCTTGCCTGCAAGGATGAGTGTCCTTGAGGGTGCCTTTCACAACCCACACAGGGACAAAAGGCTCCTGGGTTTCTGCTGAGTCACAGCCCTAGTCTCGGTCCCTGTTTGTAGATCCCCGCCTCCACACCATGTTCCTGTATTAGACTGCTGCACTGGAACAACAGATAGAACCACAGGACCATGACTTCAAATAAATGATTTACTATGGCAGATGTTTTCTACCCAAATTTCAATTCCTTTAAGAGATGTGAACCTTGGTCTTACTCATTATACATCAACGGTATCAGTCATATGCTTTGGTTTTACTGAGTACCTTAACATACAGTTCCTACTGACCAAACTAAAGTACTGCAGACTGATTAATATAATCAAGCAAGGGCTGGAAAGAGAACTCACAGGCCAAGTGTTTGCCATGTAAGCTTGAGGATTTGAGTTTGAAATTCCCAGAACCCATGTAAAGTCAGTACAATAGTGTGAGTCTGTAATCATAGTGTTCCTAGAGGCGAGGTGGAAGGCAGAAACAGGAGAATCCCCAGAAGCTCACAGGTAGCTGGCATGCACGGCAGTGAACAGCAAAGAGACCCTATCTCAAACAAGATGGAAGGGGAGCATCTCCACAAACATGCCGTGGCATATGCATGCTCCTCACATAGTCACACAGACTGTGTGTGTGCGCTTATATAATAGATATTATATCTATATATTAGATACATAGGTACATAGACAGTAAGCACAGTGTCCTCAAGTACAACTGGGCCATAAATACATGAAAAATATTTGACCTCTGAAACAGTCAGGGAAATGCAAATCAAAACCATATTGAGATTGCCGTCTCCCCACAGAAAAGCTGTCATCCAGAACACAAAAACAACCAATGCTGGTGCAAATATGGGTAAAAGATAAGACTCTTACACACTGCTTGTGGGAATGTGACTTGTGCAGCCACTGAGAGAGTCATTGCAGAAATTCCTCTCTAAATGGACACGAGTTATGAAAAATGAGTTAAAATTAGTTGTTTTTCTAGTTCTAATTCTGTTGTGGATTTGGGCTTTGATGGTAGGTAAGTGCATAAAATATAATTGATACTAAAAGTATAAAATTTAATGTGGAGCTTCACAGCTTCCATTCTGAATGCCAATTCTAACTGTATTGTGTTGTGTAGTCTTTGGGCCTGGTTAATTTTGTGTGTGATTTTATTTATTTGCAAAGTGGTTTTTTTTTTTAAATAATAATGATGGTAAGATTTAAAAAATAAACTGAAACTAGACCTACCATATGACCCAGCTATATTCCCCTGGATATACACTCAGGAAAATCCAAGCTAGTGTACAATGTTTGCACACCCATGTTTATTGCAACACTATTTACAATAGCCATGGCATATAACTAGAGAACAGTGGAATGTTGGTCAGCCATGAAAAACAAAATAATGTTTGCAGAAAAATTAGTGGAACCTGAGAATCAAGTTAAGCAAAATAAGCCAGGCTTAGAAAGACAAATTGCATGTTTTCCCACATATGGAGAATATGGATTTTTTTTAATTTATTTAAGACATAAAAACAGAAGGAGTACTGTTTAAAAGGGAGAGGATCAGAGGAGCAGGGACACCAGAGGAAGGAAGGGATGTGTATGTCCTCTGCAGCCTGAGAATGCCACAGCAAAGCCGTTGTCTTTACAGTGCATGCACACATTTTGATTTCAGGAGTTCAGTTTAATTTTAAAACCTTTTTTTTTTTTTTTTCAGGAGCTAACCCTGTAAAAGAAACTGCAATGGAAGTTGGAAAAGGATGTGACATGTCCAGCCATTCAAAATCAGGTGAGATGACATTTCCTCAGTTTGTTTCAGTAATGACAGTGTGCTAACAGGAGTAATGTCAGCATAGTACTTAATAACCAGATCTTAAAATGCTCTTGTTGCTAGTTTACATGATAATATTTAAATCTTGGGCAATATCTTTGCAGGTGGTCTTTCAAGCTCTTACGTTGTATGATTCTATTTTGTAAACAGTGAATATATATTTTCAACAATAAAAGCACAGAGCCTATTGGAATATGCTTACAATCCCACCACTTAGGACATTGAGACAAGTTTAAGGCCAACCTGGGCTACATAGGGTCTATCTCAGAAAAACAAACGAAAGGGGGAAAGCAGATATATATTACATAGCAGATATACAACTTAGGGAATAATTTCCCTTCTTGCAAGGAGTTCTGGAAAGATTTGCTTTTAAATAACAAGTTCTATAGTAATTCTGCCCTTGATTCATTCTGCAAGAAAGATAGAAAAGCCCTTCGGTCCTGGTTATTAGAATCTTTATAGTTTATGTAGAATACATGAGAAATGGTGATGGGTAGTGTCTAATTCTAGTAAATCTGGAATAGATTAGATTGCCTTTTCTATTTTATGCTTTGTAGAGGTAGAGGCCAGTTATCTGTCTGGCTCTAGCTCTCCTCCACTCCCTGGGTAATAAATAGCAAGTGATGAGAGTTGTGTGTATATGTACGGCATGAAGATTGGTATACATGTTTCCTATCCATAGTATCTGATAAACTAAATAATCAGCCCCTTTAAATTATCAAATCTTAAGGATGTTAGGCTGGTACCAGCACTGAATATAAAGCAATAGTGATCTATATACAACCACCCTCACTTGGTCAATTAACTCTCCAAGCCTCGGTTTTCTCCTTAAGGTTGAGAAAATACCTTCCTTTTAGGATGGCATGTGTGTGCTAACCCTTAAACATTTTTATCACAGCAACATAAAAGGCACTTTGTTAATGTTAATGTGATGGTGTGGTTTTCGGTTCAGACTGGTCTAGGATAGGACACATCCTTGTTTGTCCTGAGAGCTCTTTGTGAAGGGTGGGGGGGTATAGGAAGCATCTCGTGCCAGTCAAACCTCCGTCGATGACAGCACTGATAGCGCAATCACCCACACTGAGTGTACCTCACGGGGAACTTCTCTGTGCTTTTCTCAGCCTCCAGAGTTGACAAACGTCTGGTAGCCTTTGATATGCCTTTGCTACTGGAGGCTTTTCCATCTGACCTGGCTGCTGCTTGACTGCTTTGCCTTTCTTCCAGGGACATCCCCGGTCCTGTCACCCAGGAAGGTCTCTCATCCAGTCATGGATTTTTTCAGTTCACATGTTTTAGGTGACTCTTCCTCACCAGCCTCTGCTTCTACTCGTACAGATGCCCATGAAATGATTGTGGGCGACCGTCTTGTTTCTGATGAAAATCTTCAGAAGGTGGAGAATGTACTTGACCTCTGGAGTTCAGGTCTGAAGGTATTGCGGCTGCTCTGCTCCAGCATGCTGTAGTCTGACACTTGAGCCTACTCTCTATTTGTCTCTTTCTTTCTTTCTTTCCTAGAAAACAAAAACCTAAACCTTTAGGTTCCTGGGATGATCCATCCAGTGTCTTAGATTTATGCTTCTTGGTCTTTAATGCACATATGAACTGCCTTGGTTTCTTGTTGAGCTGTGGGTTGGTACTCAGTATGTTTTAGGTAGGGCCTAAGATTACATGTTTCTATTATGCTCCTAGGCAATATTACTGGTTTCTAAACCAGGCTTTGGGTTGCGAGGTTTTAAGGAGTTGCTAGGATACTGTATGTTCCACCACATTTCTTATGTGTTTGAAAGGGCTTCTTGATGACATGCAGTGATGACTGACACTATTTCAGTCCCTTCAGACCCTAGTGCTGACAAATAGAGGGTTAGGAGGGCCATACACCTGGAGTCCCAGCTGCTTGGGTGGCTGAGATTGGAGGACCTTTTATGTTTAAATATATATACTACCAATGTATATTAATTTTATAGCAGCCACAATATATGTCTGAAGATTCTATGAAAATATTTTTGTTGGGTGATGTTAGTAGCCTGCCAATAAAACAGTATTACAAAAATGTCCCGATTTTTGCTATTTTTTTAATGGAGAAGGGCTGGACAGATGGCCCAGTAGTTAAGAGCAAAAGTCCTACTCTTGCAGAGGATTGAAGTTCAGTTTCCAACACCCTGTCAGTGGGTCACAACCTGCTGGAACTCTAGCCATGGCATCTGAAACCTCTGGCCTCATGGACACCTATGCTGATGTTCACATACCCATACAGAGACTTACACAAAATTTAAAACAAATATCTTTTTAAGTAATATGATCTAACTATTCTAAAAATGGAGAAAATGAACTTTTCTGAAGCATATAATTATGTATTTACATACATAAAATTATGATCATATGAATTCTGTGACTTCTGTATCTTCCTGTTATTTGAAACTTTAAACTCTAGCAATACTCTGGAGCGGTGTCTACCATCCTCCCCTTGGGATGGGTTTCCTGGGGTGGGGGTAGAGGAAATCTGTTACCATATTGCACAGACAACCATTCAAACTATTTTCTGTCCACCAATACTATTTATTGAAGGCTTTTGTTGGTTTTAGATGAGCATTGATTACTTGGTGTTTTTACTCATGCCTGTCAGTAGGGTAAATGAGCTTAGCTCTTTGTTGTAAGGTGACTATTGTGGGAAATTCTTTTGGGGAAAACTTCAGCTCCATGGTTTCAACTACCACCACCACCGCTAATCAGCCAATCATTGGGCCTCAGCTTAGCCCGTACTCCTACATTTCTTCACCTGATCCATTTCTCGTTTACACGTTTTTGACATTTTATTTTTTTAATCCTATGTGTAGGGATGTTTTGCCTCCATGTATGTACGTGCTTGCATGCCCGTGGAATGACAGAAGAAGGTATCAGCTCCCATAGGACTAGAGTTGCAGATGGCTAGCCACCACATGAGTGCTAGGAATTGAGCTCAGATCTTCTAGAAGAGCAACCAGTGCTCATAACTAACTGCTGAGCCCTCTCTCCAGCCCCACCTAATCTGTTTTAGTATGGACATTTAAGTCTATGACTACACACTGAGTTTAGTGAATAAAACCTGATTTTTTTTTAAATGTCATAAGATTTCATACAAAGTAACATAAAATGGAAAACTAGTTCCCTTGGTATGGTGAATGAACTGTGAAGAGCCACAGCTGCTGAACTTGCAGACATCATTTATTAGTGTGTTGTGATTTTTTTTAATAGCTCTTGTTTTGACCTGATCTTTTTTAATGTTTATGTTCAGTTTAATTTTAAGACTGATTTGAAAGAACAGATAACTTATTTTCAGTATGTTTTCTTTTCAGACAAACATTATATCTGAACTAAGTAAGTGGAGACTTAATTTTATTGACTGGCACCGTATGGAAATGAAAAAGGAGAAGGAGAGACATGCGGCACTTGTAAAGCAGCTCTCTAACCAGATCGCTGACTTGAAGGAGCTGCAGAAAGCTTTTGAAGTTTCCATCGGAAGAAAGGATGAGGTCCTCTTTTCTATGCCTCCCTTTAAGTGAGACTCAGCAGATTCTCAGTGGAAATACAATTCTGAGAACTACTGATTATCCAGCTCCTGTAAGGCAGAAAGAGAAACTAAGCGCACAGCCCTGGGGTTTATTCTTAGTAGGCACAAGTGTATAGGTTCCAGCCTGAGCTCTGGCTTTGGAGTTTGCTGATGTTTAAAGAGCCTGCTCAGTGTAGACACAGACATACTAGGTTTTTCTACCTCATCGCTTTGTAGCTGTCATTAGCATTAAGGAGCCAGCATTTCCTACATTCTTCATCCTTGGAGATGATAGGTTAAGCATCTCAAATTCTATCAGGGAGATGTATTTGTTCCCTGATGGAGATAAACACAGGAAATACTCTTTACCTCCTCTTGGCTTCTTAAAAACCCGAGGGTAGAGTTCAAACTGGTCCAAAGTTTTTGGCCTCCTAATCACATTGTAAGCAAAATGAATCTGTGCCTCTGCTGACGCCCATCTGTTTATGGAGGAGAATGTGCTAGATGTCACAAAAAGATTCAGGGTAGACACCTCAGCAACTTGCCTTGAGAAGTAGCACTCGGGTGTTTAATGAATCAAGTAAAAGTGGCAGGTTCATTATTGCTTGACTTTTTGAGACAGGGTCTCACTGTGTAGCCCAGGCTGGCCTCCAACTCAGTGTGTAGCCCAGGCTAGCCTCTCAACTGGAAGTCGTCCTGACTGTCTCCCAACTTCTGGGATTATAGACATAATCCACACAGCAAGCAAGATGATGTTTTTCCAGATGTACATTGTTTTTGTTCTTTACGGGTATAGTATAAAATCAAACATTTATGTAGTTTACTTTGTTTGAAACATTGTCAGTCATTTTCTCTATTATCTTCAAACTTCTGATTTTTATGACCTTGAAGTATCATACGAAATGAGTATGTTTATGTTCTATTTATGAAAATGGATTAAATGAACAGCCATTTATCACCATTCAGTTTAAGACATAGAATGTAGTGGACAACTTAGAATGCCCTTTTCTATTTAGAAAGGGAAAGCAAGGCTGGGCATGGTTTGCGTGTAATCTCTGTATTTAAGAGGTGGAGGCAAGGAGAATCACAGGTTCAAAACCAGCTGTGAACACAGCAAGACTCTTGTCTCTAAGGGGAAAACATAAACTAGGACACAGAGTCTTGTGGTAAGTGTTTGTGGTTTACTGAGGTCCTTCCAGTGTGTCTTACCTCAGATACATTTCCGTTACATGGTTCTCTGTAAAAGAGAGTTTATCTTAGGAGTTAAGTGCTTTTTTTTTAAGGATAGTAATAATGTCATTCAAGAAAACCATTAAAACAGAACTACTGCTTTTATAAATCTGTTGAAACCACAAAGTAATTAAACAGTGAGACACTTCTATATCCAAAGTCAAGGACTAGGAAGACATTTCAAAGCAGGCCCTTTTCATAAGTCACATAAGTAAAGACTTTATACATATGTAACAAAACTTTCAAATGCACAGTTATCTTCATGAGGTAAATGGTAATAAGTATGTTATCCTCATGCATGTAAACTCTATTGGGGAGTAACATGATATACACAATGAAGATTTCTTTCCCTTTTTCCCATCATTCATTGGTACTTACACATTCACGTGGGAAATATGGCCTTTGTAACAATAGTCTATGCTGAGCATGCTGGCAGATGCCTGCAATCCCAGCACTCAGGACTCTGAGTAGGAGGAGAATCACAAGTTTGAGTCCAGTCTAAGCTACATTGTGAGACTATTTCAAAAAACAGAAAGATGAGCTGATTGATGACTAGCATAGATACCCATATTATTCTCTATAGCATGAGAAAATGACTTTCTAAAAATGAATACGCTGAGCAGCCAGCCAGGCACCCTCCAGCTTAAGACAGAATCAAACACGTAAGGATGTGTGCCCTTCCCCAAAGTCAGAGCATCCCAGTAACTGGGTTATTACATTCACAGGTGATTTCCAGCTTGTCTCATGCCATCGGCAAGCAAAAGGAAAGGATAGAGTTAATGAAAACCTTCTTCCACTGGCGAATCGGCCATGTCAAATCAAGACAGGAAGTGAGTATAAACAGATGACCACTGTCAGTATCAGCGAGACTTTAGGGTGGCTTCCTAGAACTCTTGGTAAAGTCAAAGATTTGTTTTCTAATGAGTCAATATAAATTAGGTCAGAATGTTGCTCTGATTTCAAAGAAATTTGATTTTGATGCATTTAGAAAAATACCTCTCAGATTATATTGTAGTAGGACATATATTTCATGACAGATAAGCCATTTGCTGCTTCATTGTAGTTTGACAAGGACTGTACCTAACTTACAAACACCTTGGTAACGAGACTCTTTTCCGAGACCTGACCTCGGAAGCAGTTATTTGGAAAAAGAATATATGGTCATTTGCTTCCTCTGTTGTTTCTGCTTCTGACGTGTCTATCCAAGAGGAGCAGCATGGCTATGTATTCTCAGGAGGCTGCAGCAGGGGATCACTGGAGCCTGGGCACCATAGCAAGACGCTGGCTCTAAAAGAAATGCTGCTGATAATAAATAGCCAAACACAGCCTCTTCATAAACAGATACTCCTATATTCACACATCCAATGATGCAAGTGGTGTTCGTTCGGACTTGACTTAGTGTGAGAATCAAAGGAGGTCATGTTAAATAGGTTTTTACAAGTTATACCTGAATATCATTACTTTCATTAAGTAAATGCTGAAACAGTGTGTCAAAAATAGTGATATTTTTGTCATATTTGTTCTTTATTAAACTAATAAAGAACAATGTATTACCGAGGCCAGAAATGTTTGTACGCACTGTGATCAGAGCAATCGAGAGGCTGAGGTAGGAGAATTGTGAATTGTCAGCTTAGCATGCACAACAAGACTGTCTTGTAAAGGACAAAACACTGTGTTAAAAGTGGAAAAGTGGGGCTGGATAGAAGGTGCAGCGGTTCAGAGTACCTGCTGCTCCTGCAGAGGACCTCAGTGCCCAGCACCCATAGCAGGTGGGTTGCAACCAACTGCAGCTCCAGCCCCAGGGGATCTACCGCCTCTGGCCTCCACAGGTGCCTGCGCGCATGCTCACAGACACACATGTATACAAAACTGAAAATAACTTTGTTCAAAACACAGAAAAGTATGAGTACGTATTTGCCAGAAAAAAGATATAGATAAAGGAAATGAATATAGAGATAAAGGAAATGAATATAGATTGTATAGGCTATGTTCACATAGCCCTGGAGTAGTCCTCAGAGATCAATGCTTATGAAGAAAATTATCATGGATCTCCTTTAAGAGTACCTTGTATTAATCCAAGTGGATCACATACACATGCATCACGTTGAAACAAGCTTTCCGGGGGTTGGGGACATGGTTCAGTCTGTAAAGTGACTGCTGGCCTGCTGCATAGGCGTGAGGGCTGAGCTCACATCTCTAGCACCCAAATCACAGCCAGGCATAGCAGCACTGAGGGGCTGGGAAGACCGGAGGATCCCTAGAACTTCTGACCACCTCAGCTGAGTCAGTCTCTAAAACTAAGGTGGAGAAATAGAGTAAGACAACCTACATGGACCTCTGACCTACACGTTCATACATACGTGTACATGCCCATGTGAACGTGCATACACCACACATAGGAGAAAGGTAGGTAGGTAGTAGGTAGATAGATTACATAGATTTGATTGATTGATTGATAGATGAGACTGTCTAAAATGAGTGCCATAATTTAAAATTATGTATTAAGTGACACATGATGAGAATGTGTATTTTTAAATGCTGGCTGGACTTGTCAAGTTGCCATCACTTTTCAATAGTATCTTAATTTTAAGAAAATGAAGACGTGCAACTACTTGAAAAGCACGCACTGATCGAAGAAAAATAGTTTGTGCCGTGCGGTGGTGGCACATGCTTTTAATCCCAGCACTCGGGAGGCAGAGGCAGATGGATCTGTGAGTTTGAGACCAGCCTGGGCTACAGAGTGAGTTCCAACACAGAGAAACCCTGTCTCAAAAAACAAAAAAAAAGAAAAATAGTTTATGTTCCGTTTTGTTCAGCTTGGTGTGGAGTGTGACAGTGTGAGTTGAGTGAATTAACTATTTCCACCAAAGGAAAGGGAAAGTAGTACGGCCTGAACCATAGCCACCACCTTGTTGCCTTCCACCTTTCTCTGACTCTTCAGCTCCTGCTTTCAGCAAAGGTCATGCAGATCCGTGACTGAGATGACAAGTTTTGTTGTTTTTTCGTTGACTTGATAATCCATGTTGAGCTGTGATCTCATGGATAAGAACACAGGCTCTAGAACCAGGCAACTCTGTCTTCTCCCTTCCCCCTGGGGCCATGCTGGTTCCTGAACCTCTCTAAGCCAGTTTCCCATGTGCAGCAGAGTGATGGACAGGATTAGTGATAACACTCGTGCACTTCCCCCCGTCTATTTTTGGTTACACTGCCCGTGCATTTGCCAGTTCTCTGTGGTTCTGAGGTTGCGTGTTGCTTTTCTTCAGGTCTATGAAGGAAAACTGGCTGACCAGTACTTCCAGAGAACTTTGCTGAAAAAAGTCTGGAAGGGCTGGCGTTCCGTGGTGCAGAGGCAGTGGAAAGAAGTGGTGGAGCGCGCGTGCCAGGCAAGGGCTGAAGAAGTCTGTGTGCAGCTCTCCAATGACTATGAAGCTAAACTTGCTATGGTAAGTGTTTTTAAACAAGAACACGGCCCACGGAATCAACTAAGGGGTCCTAAGGCTCACAGAAACTGAAGCAAGAATCACAGAGCCTGTATGGGTCTGAGCTAGGTCCTTTGCTGTTATGATTGTGTAGCTTGGTGCTCTTGTGGGAATCCTAGCAGCGGAGGCATCTCTGACCCTTTCATCTGCTCTTGGGACCCTTTTCTTCCTACTGGGTTGCCTCGTCTAGCCTTGATAGGAGGGCTTGTGCCTCGTCTTGTTGTGCACGTCCCTGAGAGACCTGCTCTTTTCTGAGGGAGAGCGGAGGTGTGGTGGGGGACTGAGAGGAGTGGGAGGGGGGGAAGTTGGTCAGGTATAATATATGAGAGAAGAATAAATAAAAAATAAAATTTCTACTTTGTATAGTAGAAGAAATGTATAGACTCACTATAAGTTAGGCTATGATTTTTTTTTAGTGTTTATATAGCAAAGAGCAAAAATTTAAAGATGTTTATCTTTATTAATTTAAATAAGCTATGCTCCTATGTAAATTTAATATAAAACAAATGTATATAAATTGAATTATTTTTCCTCTGGATTTCAATAATAGAATTAACATTGTTTCCATAGGAAATCATTTGGATCATGAAAGGAGGAGAGGAAAACTAAACATTTAGAATGCAAAGGGCCTTTTGAAATCATATTAAAAGGAAAAAGAAAAAGTCTTTCTTATAACACTAAATAGTATTAAAATAAATTTTACAGAGCTAGAGAGATGTCTCAGTCAGTAAACTGCTTACCTTATAGGCAGGAGGAACCAAGTTCAATTCTACTTTTTTTTTTTTTAAGATTTATTTATTTATTATGTATACAGCATGTATGACTGCAGGCCAGAAGAGGGCACCAGATCTCATTACCAATGGTTGTGAGCCACCATGTGGTTGGTGGGAATTGAACTCAGGACCTCTGGAAGAGCAGTCAGTGCTCTTAACCTCTGAGCCATCTCTCCAGCCCCAATTCTACTTTCTTAAAGAGCTGGGCTCAGTCTTGTGTTCTTGTAATCCCAGCACTGCAGAGCCAGAGACAGGAGGCTCCCTGGACCTCACTGCAGTCAGCTAACCAGATCAGTGAGTCCCATACCTGTGAGAGACCTGCCTCAGAAAACAAGGTAGACAGGAACCAAAGAAAACACCTGAGGTTGATCTCTGACCTCCACATGTACACACAGATACACATGTGCATCCATACACATGCGTCTGCACAAACATGTACAAACATACAGAAATAAATAATTTTTATAATAACATATAATGGCATACAGAAAAGGTGTAGTCTTTTTAGGTTTGGTCTATGGGAAAGTAGGTTTTACCAAAATTTACTGTGTACTTTAAATTCTGTAAATAGCCTCTACTTTTCAAAAATTCTGTTAATATTCAAGAATTTTAGTTAGTTTTTATCCTCTCAAAGGAATATGGGTCATGTGTGGCTTGTTTGAATATATTTTACTTAATATCCTGCATAAAAATTGTATAGTTTAAAAAAGAAATAAAAGGCCACATTTTTGCTGGACATGATAGCATATATCTGTAACCTGAGTACTTGGGAGGTAGAGATGGAAGGATGATTTCAAGGTCACCCTTGACGACATAGCAAGTTAGAGACAAGCCTGGGCTACATAGGACCTTGACTCAAAAAACTAAATAAGTAGATGAATAGCAAAGAATAACCTTAGTCTGCTTTTTGACAATAATATTCCTTCTTGTGTTTCAATCCCCTCCCCTTGTGTGTAATTCTTTAGTTATCTGGAGCTTTGGAAAATGCAAAAGCTGAGATTCAAAGGATGCAACAAGAAAAAGAGCACTTTGAAGACTCCATGAAGAAAGCGTTCATGAGGGGGGTATGTGCGTTAAACCTTGAAGCCATGACCATATTTCAGAACAAAAGTGATGCAGGTGAGTAACTCATGGGTGGTTCTCTGCTCAGTTTCAAAAGGAACTTGAGGGGAATGTTCTGCAGTGAGTGTGCCTTGTCTCCCCGTCACTGGTTTGTGTTTTCATGGGCTCATGCCCAGCTCCAAATCCACCCTAGTAGTCAGTCAGCTTATTCATTGTACCTCTCAATTCTTAAGCTCAGTGTCCAAATGATTCCAGCATCTAGCTATAAAACCCAAGTTGGCCTCAAATTCATGTCCTGCTTCAGCCTTCTGTGGACTGGAATTTTAGGAATGCATCACCATGCACAGCCAAAATAATGCTTAATTTTAACATTTAACATTTTAAGGTTCTCTTTAATAATTTTAATGCCTCTAAACATTAAATTTCTATTTTCATTTTTGTATAAGTTGCCACATTTCATAGACAAGTTTGTTGATTAAATATTTCTAACCTAGTCGTGGTTTCCTAAAACCTATTTTATCAGTAAAATAATTTTTTTAAGTCTATGTAATACCTGGAGTCTCTTTGTAATAATTTTGTCTGCATGGATTAGAACACATGACCACAACCATTTGCTACCAGTGTAGAGTGGGGCCAGTTCCCTCAATGGGCCTTAGACCCTTCTCCAAGCAAAGCCTGTAACACACCTGCTTCAGGGGACTCTTACAGAGAGGCAGTGAAGGAGGAGCAGGAGGCACTCTGTAAGTCAAGATGGTCATGTAAGACCCTGCCTGCTTAGTGTCCAGTTGTCGTCTTCAGTCAGTCTCCCAGCCCACCTCTTCAGTGTTGCCTCAGATGACATCCAACTGGGGACTGCTGAGAAATCAGAGATGGTTTCATCTTGTTACACTGTGGTTTGATTGCACTCCTGTGAAAACTATTGATTGTTTAAGTCACAAGTGGTGCTGGGTAGTGGTGTTTGGGCACATCTTTCTAAAATTAGCCATGGCCTGTGGTCTGTGTACAGGTCAGGCAGTAGCAACCTAGAATTAGAAGATCTCAGGGATGACCAGTGTATCTCACTGATACCTGAGTGATTTGGTCACCACACTACCAGTCACCTTTTATTTATTTATTTATTACTTTTTCATTGTATTTATCTGTTTGGGGGACGGAGGGCATACACAGGCCATGGCACACATGAGGAGGTCAGGGGACAATCTGAAGGAGTCAGGTCTCTCTTTCCACTGTCCTACGATTGAACTCAGGCCATCAGATTTGGGGACAAGCACCTTACTGGAGGAACCATCTCACCTGCTCCCCTAAATATTATTGTGAGAAATAATATTTTGTGAGAAAGGCAGAAGATGGCAATAACATGTAAGTCCTATTTGGGAGAAAGCTTATTTATGAGAGTTTCATTTCATTAATTAGCTGGTTTTTTGTGCCTTCATTTTAGAACATCCTTGAAATGATGGATGTAGAGTTTTCAAGCAGTTTTAGACACAGTAAGTGTGAAAAGTGAGAAAAATGTCTCCCCATTAAAGACAGATCTGTGAACAGAAACTTCATAAATGAGCCCACATCAGCAAGAGTTGGTCATCTGCCTGTTCACACCTGACCTTTTCTCTGGTTCTGAGTCATGGATATCTGCCATGCAGAGTTACTTTCTGCCAAAAACATGTTAAACCTCCGTGGGAGAATGTGTGTAGTTTTCAAGTTATAAGTGATATTTCATGTGGAATTACCAGAGTTGGAAGGATCTTTGAACTATAATCATTGTTAAACTTTAACAAGGTAACTATTACTATGTATAATGTGCATATCGCTGAAGGCCGGGCATCTGGATGGAAAGAAGACATGTAGAAACTCTTTAACACAATGTCTTTCTCAGTATCCTCAACATCTCACTACATTTTCAATTCAGAGATAGTTCAAGTGGAAAGTAGCCAAATTCTAATTCCAAGGGGGAAAATATCAAAAATTAGGTGAAGGCCCTTGTCCTACCTTCCTCTAAAAGCTGACTCCATTCCCTCCCTAGATCAGGGATAGGTCCCTTTGTAAGGAAGCCATCCCTACAGCTAGTTCAGCAGGCAGATGCTTTTTACTCATAATTTGTGTCTTCATTGAGGAACTCATTTCCTTGACTCATTTATGTAGCTTGAGTTTTTCTGCCTGGCCCACAGTCAGGACAAATCTCTCTCACCTGCCAGTCCCACAGCCGCTCAGACCCAACCAAGTAAACACAGAGACTTATATTGCTTACAAACTGTATGGCCGTGGCAGGCTTCTTGCTAACTGTTCTTAAAGCTTAAATTAATCCATTTCCATAAATCTATACCTTGCCACGTGGCTTGTGGCTTACCGGCATCTTCACATGCTGTTTCTCATCGTGGCGGCTGGCAGTGTCTCTCTGACTCAGCCTTCCACTTCCCAGCTTTATTCTCCTCCTTGTCCCGCCTATACTTCCTGCCTGGCCACTGGTCAATCAGTGATTTATTTATTGACCAATCAGCAACACACTTGACATACGGACCATCCCACAGCACATTTATTTGACTTGCTAAAATGTCAAGAGTGAAAACACCTTGTTTTTGTTAAAATAGAAGTAATAGTTGCCATGAGGAGAGCGTTGATAGGGGAGATAGTTGCAAAGGTCTAATAGGATGGCTGTGTGAAGGCGGAAAGGCTGGAGACCCTCCCACCCTGGGTGACCACATACATTAGTTACCACATGTGTTTCGGTGGCAGTACACCCAGCCAGCTCCCACTGAGCACATACTTTATTCTTATCTTTTATATAAGAGCAGATCATTGGTTAGCTTTTTTTTTTTTTTTTTTTTTGGTTTTTCGAGACAGGGTTTCTCTGTGTAGCTTTGCACCTTTCCTGGAACTCGCTTTGGAGACCAGGCTGGCCTCGAACTCACAGAGATCCGCCTGCCTCTGCCTCCCGAGTGCTGGGATTAAAGGCGTGCGCCACCACCGCCTGGCCATTGGTTAGCTTTTACATGTTGACGCTTTCACCTCATCTGAAGTTGATAGTAGCCAGTTAATACTGACACTGTATTAAGTGAACAGTAAACCCCCAAGATGACAAATAGGCATTTTCATTAGAACTATATTTTAGCCATTAGTCTTTTCTCTATTTGGAGGGTAGTGATCTTAGTTTGGGCTACTGTTAATAGAATGGATTTGTGATTTGTAGGGATAGACTTCACGAGTAATAAAAAGGAAGAGAGTGGCCCTGGTGGTCCGGGAAGAGAACTTTCTGCTCATTTGGATACTTCTTCATCTACAATACCGTCAGCAATGCCGTCAGCAGTTCCGTCGCAGCTGCTGCCATCTGCAGCAGCAGGAGGGGCCAGCGCCACGGTCATTCCCTCCGCCGCCTCCATGACCTCTGCTGGAGCTACATCTGCCTCTTCTATTCACGTTCCTGTCTCTGTTCTGGGGGCAGGACCCGCAGCTGCTGCTGCCCCGGAAGAAATGGTTAGTACCCTCTGTGCAAGGCTTCGGAAGCATGGATGTCCTGTACAGCGTTTGTGGGGCTCTGGCTTTGTAAATGTAGTGCTAAGGGTCCAACCCAGTCCAGCTGTCATCCCCAGCTGTACATGGGACATGGCGAACAGAGAGAAAAATGTCAGTGTGATAAAAGTAATCCAAAAGTACTATTGCAGGAAAATAGGTTTCATTTGAGAAAGAGTTAATAACAGACTTTCTTTAAACAAACGAATGAGTATTCTCAAGGGCTTAGAGGACTCAGCGATATTTTCTCTCCCTTTTTTTCTGGGTGATCTTTCACATACAACAAGTGACTGCCTCTGTTCATTTGTAATCCTGTTGAAATGAGGAAGGACAGCCTTTCCTCCGGTCAGCCTGCTTCTCCATAGGGAAGTGCTTAGAGAAGGGGACTGAACAGGGCGGGGAGTCGGTGTGAAAAGGCTGTGTTTGAGGACGTAATGAAATTGGTGACAGCCCACCGTGGCTGTGACTCAGGAGTGAACATCCACAACCTTGTCAGACTCAGCTCTGCTGCCCCCTCCCGTCCAGTGTCGCTCTCACACGAAGGCAGAGGGACTGTTTCCCTCTCTCCTGGACTCTAGCCACTGACGTAACAGAGAGGATGGCGGAAAGGACTTTAGGTCTTTTCTCTCTTACTCTTTATTATGTTGGGGGTCGGGGAGAGAGACAGAGAGATAGACAGACAGACAAACTCTCTCTCCCAGGTGGGCTTCAGATTTACAGCAAGTTCCTGCCTTGGCCTCCCTAGTACTGAGAGGACATGAGATTACAGATGGGGGCAGCCACGCTCAGCTTGGCTGTAGGTCGTAAACCGTTCCTGGCAGGCCGTGACCGGGCACTGTCGCTCTAGAGAGCTCTCTGTAAGGGAAGAAAGACAGATTTGGCCAGACAACTGGTCACATTTTCTCTTGTAGCTCACTTGAATTCCTTCCTTTCAGAGCTGCTAATTTTGGAGGCTAGCATCTGCTACTTGCTGTGTTTGCTCTGCCTCAAGTGAAAGTCCATGGCACATGTGTATACAGTACGAGAAATATGAACGTGGGGAGGAGTTTGACTTAGAAATAAGACTAAAATTCAACCTGGACATATGTTCAGCTGTGTTTATTTTCCATGATTATACATCCTGGAGAGTAGTCCTATGTAGATTATCTCATTTAAATAAACACGGTAGGAGTTTATTTAAATTTCTGATTTGCCATTCATGTTGCATATGCAGATAACATACACAGAGCTAGATATTTCAAAATATCCTCCTTAAAATAGGGCTGCATCAGAGTCTGCATTTAGGGCTGACCCTGCGTGCAAGTGTGCGTGTGAGTGAGTCTGCTCACAGTCCTCATGGTGCTTGCTTCCTCGAATAGTTCTGAAGTCTTTAAAATATGAAAAACAGTATTATATAGACAGCCCTTCTTGTTTGTGGCACACGTGCACGTGCGTGCACACATGCGCACACACACACGTACAACTCCAGTTGTTCTGGTGTTTGTGGGGATCTGGCTTTGTGTTCATTCATTTGCTCATATTTGTAAATGCAGTGCTAAGGATCAAATCCAGCGAAGCTCTCATCCCCACCGCTGGAAATGGGACATGGCAAACAGAGAGAAAAGTCAATGTGAACATGATCAAAGCTCCTATGAACTCACAGCACACACCAGGCTGCACCAGATTAGTGTTTGATGGGACTCCTGAGTGTGGATTGAGTGACTCTAGTTCTTGTGCCTTCTTTTGGGCTCTTTTCCTTCTGTTTGTTTAATCTAAATCTGATGTGTTGGGTTTTTTGGAGTTTTGTTTTGATTTGTTTTGTTTCCTGGGGTTTTTTTTTTTTTTTTTTTTGAGACAGGGTTTCTCTGTGTAGTTTTGATGCCTATCCTGGATCTCACTCTGTAGACCAGGCTGGCCTCGAACTCACAGAGATCTGCCTGCCTCTGCCTCCTGAGTGCTGGGATTAAAGGCGTGTGCCACCAACGCCTGGCTGTTTGGGGTTTTTTTTTTTTTTGTAATCTTACTATATTTTATCATTATCCCTTTGAAGCCTGTTTGTTTTCTAATGAGAGATGGAAAGGGAGTGGATCCAGATGGGAGGGGAGAGTGGAGGAACTGGGAGCAATGGTGGGAGGGAAAACCATAATAGAAATATATTATGTAAGGAAAAAACTCTATTTCCAATAAAAGGGAGCAAAGAGTAAAATGCATTTAAAAAAAAAAGTCAGCATGCTACTTGGTTCAACCTACAGAAAGTACTCAAGACAAAAAGTGGCTAAAATATTAGTGTGTAGTGAAAAGTAATTCAAAAGTACTGTCGCAGATGTGATAGTTCCAGCACCTAAAGAACATCTTCCGGGCCAGGGGAAAGACTCACGGGTAATCCTTCTGTAAGGACAGTGTAAAGTTTTCCCCTTTGTGACAAATACTCAGACTCACCTCAGATGTGTCTTCTTGTTTTAAAAAGAAGCACAAGGCCAGCCTGTCTCAACTGCACCCAGCCGTACCACACATCTCCACAAAAGAACGATAGGCAGTTATCCCAGCAAATTGTTTCAACTCACAGAACTGGACAGCAGATGGCGCCATGCTCCCCTGGTTCTAGGAGTGTAATTGGAGTCCCTGAGGAAATGCTCCTGGCTGGATTTCCAAACTGTTTACTGAAGTTTTTCATCTAACTTCTCCCTCCATCAGAATGGACGGAGTATTGTGAAGTAGTTGGTATTGTTTTCCCATTTTATAAGTGAGGAAATTGAGGTTTATAGAGGGTAACCCCTATGGACATACTTAGCACTCAGAAGAGCCAGTTTTCAACAGACAGACAGGTTAGGTGGTGGTTTTGGATTGTAAATAGACCACCTTTCTAGTATAAGCCTTATTCAATGTGTTTACCATTTTCCAGTGTCAGTTTCTGTAAAGTGTGTTATGAACTAGCAAAATGTTCAACACTGTTAGTATTTTTGTTTTCTCCCCGCCACCTAATTTAACAGAAATCTTTTTAATAATTTTTCATATAAATTCTCTGTAAAATATCCTTATTCATTTTTAAAAACAGCTCTTTTTTTCACTAGTTTAAACTGTTTGGGTTGCATAAATATTATGTTGTAAATTTGTATGGTGTGAGGGAATGCCCACACTGGCCACAAGGGGGCGTCTGAGCCCCTGGAGCTGGAGTTATAGGTGGTTGTAAGGCAGCCGATGTGCTGAGAACAAACCCAGGTCCTCAAAGAGCAGAAAGTGCTGTTGATAACCGAGCCATCTCCTCAGCCTCTACTTCTGTATATACAGTACAGTTAGCAAGTCAAACTTCTGGGAACAACTCCAAGCATGCAGGTGACTTCTTTCAAACCGTGGCTGTAGCTGGAGCCTCGACGTGTCCTCTCCATCTCATGAGGCAGTCTGACGCAGTTCTTAACTGGGTTGGGGCAGCTGATCATCTGTAGTTCCTGGCTACTCTGGGGCTCCTCATTCCAAACTTTTCTGGGTTTTCATGCATTCCCTCCCTCTTCAAGTGAGATGAGCTGCTATGGAGGGGCATGTTTATCACCTTTGGGTGTTAGAGGTGCAGTTCTACCTCACTTTTCAGTACTTTGGGTTATTGGTGGGGTTTCCCACTGCTAAGGATCACACCCAGGGATCAGCACATATGAGTGCTCTGGCGTCGAGCTGATTCTCAGTTCCAGTGGGTTTTCCTGCCAACTATTAATTTCATATTCTAAAATAGCATTTAGGAATCTTCATTTGGAGTTGGGGCCCAGCTTCTTGGTAGAATAAATTCCCGGCATGCATAGGTTCAATCCCAGTTGCCAGTCCCAAAAAATAATCTTCATTCATTCACAAAATATTCTGTACCTTATGTTTGCTGATCTGTATATTATATATATATTACATATATATATATTACATATATATATATACTTTCCTGAAGATAGAAATGTGAATTTAGTTTGCAAAACATTTATGAACATCTTTTCTTAATTTGTTTTTATGTGTGAGTTGGGGGGGGGTGTGCCCAGAAGTGTCAGATCCCCTGGAGCTAGATTATAGGTGGTTATGTGCCACCTGATGTGGTTGATGGGATTTGAACTCAATCCCTCTGAAGAGCAATCCATGCACTTAACCACTGTGCCGTGTTTGCAGCCCTGTGAACATCTTAAAATCTGAGATTTGTTTGCACAAATACACAAGATCCGTAAAGTTCACTAATTAAAAAAGCAGTCTTTACATTTTCAAAACCAGTCCTCCAAATCCCCTTCCCCAAGCTGTTAGCTGTTTCTTTCTGGCCCCTTTCCTTGAACAGTATGTTCCTGTCTTTGGCATACATTTGTTAATCTGAATCCTTATCTATTGACTTCCTCCTGTGGAGGAAGGGCCTGGCCTGTGACACCATCGTAGCCTTCTGTCGGGCCCTTCCTGTGTGTCAGTGTTTAACACAGCTATTCCAGCTTGAACTTCAATCGGACTTGAGAGTCCTGTGTAAATATAGCTAAGCCTTGAATGTATGTGATGACATTTCCTTCCAGCATATTTTTTGTTCCTAGAATTAATTGCTTCATTTTTGCCTTTGCTTGGGTTTTTATGGCACTATAATGAATTCTTTCCAGATTCTTTAAGGACTTGCACAACCCTATTAAATGTTGTTTTCCTCTGGGTTGTTTTAATTTCCCCAGAGCCAAGTCTCCTTGATTATCCTCTCCATGAGTCAGTAGACAGCTCTTAGCATCTGCAGCTGAATGCAGATAGAGAGAGAACCTTGGATGGGCCAAACCATGGGGGAAGGACCAATATTTAATAAATGCTTTTAGAAGAACTATTGAGGAAAAAACATGCATTTAGATTAATACTTCACACGAAATTTTCAGTTACACCACCATGAGTACGTGTAAGAGCATAGTTATTGCAGCTGTCCAAAGGAGATTATGTTCTCCTTCAAGTAAGAAGAGTTCATGATAAGATTAAAGACTATGGACACTGAAAAGTGAAGCATGGGGTGTGGGGGGGCTCAGCTGGAAAAAGTACTTGAGGACCTAATTCCAAATCCCAGCACTTATTTTCAAAAAAGCCAGGCATGGTTGCACATGACTATAGCCCCAGCATAGGGAGCTATGGTGGGCAGGGGAGACAGATAGATGGATCCTGAGAGCTCGATGGCAAGCCAGCCAGCAAGCCTAAACAGTGAGCTTCTGGTTCAGTGAGACCCTGTCTCTAGGCAGTAGGTCTGAGAGCAATAGAGAGGCACCCAGCCTCTCTCTGTCTTCTGCATGGATATGTACAAGCATTACCACCTACAGGTTGAACTCCCAAAGAAGGAAGGAAAGAGGCAGGGAAGGAAGGAAATACATAAGGAAAATGTTTATATTACTAGATGAGTGTTTTCAGTCCTTAAATGAAGTTAATACCCATCAGGAACTATTAAATTTTTTTGTTTGGGGAGCTAGGAATCAAACCTATAAGTCCATTCATGGCATACCAAAACCACCCAGTAACACTCCCAGCCCAACTGATGCTAATGTGTGTGTGTGTGTGTGTGTGTGTGTGTGAGAGAGAGACAGAGACAGAGACAGAGACAGAGACAGAGACAGAGACAGACAGACAAAGAATATCTTACTGTGTCTCTCAGGCTGGCCTCAAACTTGTGGTCCTCCTGCCTTAGCCTCCCAGGTGCTACACACATTCATACCACCCTGCCCATATTTTTGGAGCTATTATATTGTTTTAATAGCAACTGTCCTTTCCATTTCTGACCAAAGATAAAGAACTGACAAGTTATAGTGTCAATATGAAATATTGATGAAGCATTACAAGTCAAATCAAAAAACATTACCTTACACAGAGTTGAGCATTTATATAATAAATTGACAGTGAAAATAGGAAATTATACATCACTCTTGATATACATATAATCTTTCTTCAATATTGTCTAGTGGTAACCAATAAAAGCTTTAAATGTTGAAGTTGCTTTTTGATGTGATCATCCCATTTTTGCTGTATTTCTACAAAAATAACTTCTAGAAGTGTTTTTACAAAAATTATTTACTATAGGAAGAGAACAGAGGAAAAACTAGTCTGTTATATGAAATCATTCTTTACAAATTATTTTAAGTTTCTGTATTCATGAAACATCGTTAAAGTTTTTTAAAGCAGGACAAAAACATATATGTAATGATGATAGTTCTACTTAAGGATTAAAGTCATAACCCAGACAGTGGCTGGTGTTACGGAGGATGAGTGGGAGAAGGGAAATGGGTGAGAGGTGTGTGTGTGCTGGAGTACCTACACTGTGGCTCAGTGCCAGTGGTAAGGAGTCTGCATGTAGTAAAATGGCACAGATGTGTACACAGGCCTCGTGCGGCCCCAGTGTGCTGGTGTCGATGTGGTTTACTTCAGGTAAGACTTGATCCTTGCAGGAACCTAAGAGAACACAAAAGGACACTTCCTGGGAATCTGTCACTTCAAAAGTAGGGTTTTAAATCTCAAAAACATTTTTAAATAGTTGACATGCCAAGATTAGAAGAATATTTTAGAGTTTGGGAACATTGCGGTTTTGTTTTGCCTTTTTGTCTCATTAGGTTTTAAGTGCTATCTGTTTTTTTTTTTGAAAGTTACACAACAGAGTAATGCAAAGTGTGCAGTGGGTCTTCCAACGACTTGGTATTTGGTTTGGTTTTGCAGTACATGCCAAGAGTTGTGACTTCAGCACAGCAGAAGGCTGGGAAGACAATTACAGCTCGGATCACAGGACGGTGTGATTTTGCTTCCAAAACTAGAATCAACAGCAGTTTGGCTATCATGGGAGTTTCTCCTCCCATGAGCTCGGTTGTCGTGGAGAAGCATCATCCAGTCACAGTGGTAAGTCCTGTCAGGAAGTCTTTTTCATGAGTTCGTCCCCTAGTCAACCCTGACATTCATGGTTGGTCATTGTTACCATGTACTCTTAGTCTATGTAAATCGTACTTACAAATTCCTCCTGTTAACAAATATGTCTATTCCAATGGCATAAAAATGGTCAACTAGAAACGGTAATCCAGTAGGCCGACTGCTAAAACAGTAAACTGAAAGGTTCCATGCAAGAAGAAAAAAAGAAAAACCGTTTACTGGTAAAGCGACTCTTCGCGCAGCAGGAATTGAATATAAGAAAATGTTCCCGCGTTAGGCTGCTGACTCTTGCCCTTGTATTTTCCAGTCTCTTCAGTAGCATGTCTAGCCCATCTCTACATTAAAAGACGTTGAGTTACAAGAAGTATATGTGCTATGAGGGAAGATGCGTAGACTTGAAGCAGGAGGCAAGTGGAACCATCCTGGTTGTTTGCTGCATCTGGATAGAGACAAGTCCAGTCAAATAGTTCAGCCTCCATTTTCTCTTCTGTGAAATGGGGTTGGTGAGAGTACTGAGCTTCTGGAACACTGTCAGGATTCAGGATTAAATGAGAAAATACATATAGTGGCATATACAGAGGAACTTTGTAAACTACAGAACCTTTAGAAACTATGACCTAACTAGGAACATGAGATTTTCTGTTTCTTTTTTCTTTTTTTTCTTATTCTAATCTTTGAATGTTTGTTTGCATGTATGTCTGTGCACCACATGTATGCCTGGTCCAGAAGAGTGTATCGGATCCCCTACAACTGGGGTTACAGATGATTGTGAGCTGCCGTGTGGATGCTAGGAATCGAACCTGAGTCCTCTGGAAGAGCAGCAAGTGCTCCTAACCTCTGGGCTGTCTCTCCAGCCCTGGCATTTTAGAGAGTAGAGAAACTAAAGAACTAAAGTCTTTTTAAGTTTTTATTGAATTAAAATAAAAATCACATCATTTTTCAAATCCTTCCTACCCGCCCCCCATATCTGACTCTCCTACTCCCTCCCAGATTAACTTCTTGTTGTGACGGAGTAGAATTTTATCTCCTTTCATCAATTCCTTTCCTCCCAGTATTATATCATCCTCTCCTGTTTTCCTTAATTTCCCTGATTTCAGGTTAAGCCTCCATCAAATAATGTACTCAAACCTAAACGTTGAGGAACTGGAACCTTAGCTCTTTCTTTCCAGGCGCTCTGTTCTCTCCTGGGCTGCCTTCTGCTCTTCAGCATGTACACAGTGCTTGCCTGGTAGCAGGTGCCTGTGAGCCAGAGGTCCAGGAACCCTTCCGCTACTGCTGCTGCTTTGTCCTGTGACAGTTGTGGTCCTCTACACTGTTTGAATTGTTTCCCAGGAATCTCAGTCTAAAACTAGCAGAAACCATTATTGCTAATAAAGCATGGATCTGTTTGTAGTGCCCTTGCCCATCTGCTGGGCATTCACTTGCTTCTGGGGCTGATTTCCTGTTCTGCCATATTTTGTAGATCATGATACCCATGGGAACTCTGTCTTTCTACAGTCCCTCTTACCCATCCTCAAGGAGAGACAACTTTGATAAATCATGTCATATTTGGTGTTTGTCAACTAAAATTTCATACCAGCTGCAAGAATCTCCCATTTGTAGTGGTTACCCAGGTATTTGTAGTTGGAGAAACATCTGTATAAGATACCTTAAGAAGGAGGTTACTTTTCCATTTCTCCATAGAGGAATTCTTACTTTTAAGACAGAATTGGACACGAGGACCCTGTTTTATTATGTAGTCTTTGAAATACATGATAAATATATTGACTAAATGCATTTTTTTTATCAATTTTATGTCTGTAAATGTTTTGCCTACATATTTGTCTGTGCACCACATGAGTGCCTGGTCCTCTACCTGCTAAGCCATCACTCCTGCCCCTAAAGATAATTTTTCTAAATTGAAGATCCTTTAGTAGAAATTTGTGTGTACATGACTAAGAACTTAACTTGATACAAATCCCTCTGCCAGCTACTAAGACATTGTAGCAGATACAATAAAGTCTTAACTGTGTTCCATATGTATGTATTTATATACACAATGTATACTTTTACATGTCACATGTGTAGACTGAGTCTGCTCTGCCCTGACTGTAAGTCTTTAGCACGTATGTCTCGGCGTTCCCTGACTGTAAGTCTTTAGCACGTATGTCTTGGCGTTCCCTGACTGTAAGTCTTTAGCACGTATGTCTCGGCGTTCCCTGCACTTAGAGCTGGTGTGCGGATCATCCTCTCCTCAGTGTCTGTAATTGTTCCTCACATTCAGTTCTTCCCTTGTTTAGGAAATTGTGATCCAACTGAGTATGGTGGCATGTTCCTTATTCCCAACGTTCGGGAGGCTGGGCAGGTAGATCACAAGTTTGATTCCAGTCTGGGCTACATAGCAAGACCCTCTTGAAGGAAAGAGACACTAAGAGAACCCCTTGTCTCTTGTGTGACTCTAAAATGTTGGGTCTGCTCCCAAGTGAGATCTGAGGTCTATCTTACCGTGACTTGAAGCAAGGCCTGGACTGAATAGAATAAGGGGTGAATGTTTAGAGTTGACCCTCATCCAGACACCGTGAAGTCCTTTTCTGTACTTGGTCTCTGTGAACCTTTTCCTCTTAGACCTCTTAGAGCAATGATTCCCAAGGCTCTGGTATTAAATGTGGATCCTTTTAGAGAAGGGCTTCACAGGTTGGTTGAATGGCAACTCCACCCAGTGCATTGCTGGTATCTGCAGGATGCCAAATGCCTGTTGGTTTGGGTTATAGGTGATGCTTCACATCTAAACTCTCGGATTATTAAAACAGCCTCTTATCTTTACAGCAAACCATTCCTCAGGCAGCTGCTGCCAAGTACCCACGGACCATCCATTCCGAAGGCGCCATCCCAGCTTCTAGGTCTCTCGGAGCCAGGCCAACACACACCCAGTCTCTCTCCAGTGTTCAGTCCATAAAAGTGGTTGACTGAGTGACTGTGTTCACACTCAGGCTTTTCAGTCCTCTGATAAGGACTTGACTGGGAGCAAGAAGATTTTGTTTTTGACTTTTCTGTACTCTTAGAACATCATGGACACATGTTCATCTTTTCAGAATTCTAAGAGACTTTCCCATCCTTTGTAACTGTATGTAAAGATTATTTTAATGTTATTTTTATTTAAACAATTAAGTAGAACTTTTTAATTAAAAAAAAAAACTTGGTTCTAAACATGTCCAGCCTACCACTGATTGCATTGTTGAAGGGTACATTATTTCTAAAAGGAAATCATTTCCATTGTTACTGAGCCATAATTTACACAAAACTTTGAAAGAGACTTTTACTGCCATTACTAAAACATAAAGAAGCTATTTTAGTTTTTAGATAAAGACCAAGAGTAACAATGGTATTTCTAAACACAACCTTTTCTGCCTTCGGTGTAGTGGACTGCAGTTAAGCACTGAGGGAAACAGGCAACATCTGTGAATGAGACTTTTGATTAGCACCCAGACAGAGAGAAGCTCCCTGCTGGCATGACTCTGCTTTCTTTGTTCGTTCTCACCTTACTGGAGCCTGCAGCATTGAGCCTGAATGTTCTTTCTACACATCCATGCATGTGCTGCAGAAGGGTGCCCCGCAAGACAACAGAGCTTTGAGCCTGAGTGTAAGCTTTCCAATGGCTGGCCAGTGTGAATAAGCCATCTGGGCCAGGCGTGATGGCACATGCCTTTAATCCCACCAATGGGGAGGCAGAGGTAGGTGAAGGTCTAGTTCAAGGCCAGCCTGGTCTACATAGTGAGTTCCAGGACAGCCAGGGCTGTGTAAGAGAAACCCTGCCATAAATAAATAAATAAATAAATAAATAAATAAATTTTTTGAGAATTAAAAAAAAAGGAAGGAAGGAAACCATCTGGGCAGAACTGACGTTGAAGAAAAAGCTTTTCAGCAGTTTATTCATGACTCTGTTCTCTTGGACCAAACATGTAATTAAATGGATTTTAGGATCCTCATCTGTGATATAAGTAGAATGGACTTCCCTTCCCTGTTTGATACTGTACTTACGGAATATATGAGCGCGTGCTAAGGAGTCCATCTGGGCCTCCACTTGCAGGCATGGGTGGGTTTGATCAGCAGAAGCCTCTACCAGTTTGAGCATGATCCACTTCTGTGCTCTCTCGTTTCATTATAAAAAGTCACTGTTCCTGCTTCAGAGACTAAATGTGATGTAGGCAAACATGATTCCATTTTATAATAAGTGCTTAAGCTTTTTTGAGTTATGGACATATCAGGCAGTGGTCTAGCTACAACTGTAGCAAAAGCTAACTCCTTGGGCTAGTAAGCTTTGTGAACAGCAAGCTGAAGCACCTTCTCTCACACCTTCCCTGTGGGCATGCTCCCCAGAACTTCCTGTCTGCTCAGTAAGGCCAGGAGAAGCAGTAGGCTGCGCTAAGAGACTACTCATGGGACCCAGAATAAAAGCCCCACTGTGTGCAGCTCCAGTGACGACTCAACCACTGAGCACTTGCTAATCCTGCAGAGACCCTCGTTCAGTTCCCAGCACCCACTTGGCAACTTCAAACCATCCGTAACTCCAGTTCCAGAAAACTCAACACCTTCCTCTGGCCTGCGCAGGCACCGGGAATGCACGTGTACATACATACATGCAGTCAACACACACATATTGAAATCATTAAAACAGTGACAAGTGGATCAAGTCCTCCTCATCCCTCTCCTGTATGAACTGCCATGAGATGCCCTCATCCCTCCTTGGAACAGAATGTCCTTAGGATCAGATAGCCAAGCTTGATACCAAGTGGAGCCAATTTGGTAGCATCCTCACCTGGCCCCTCCTCAGCATCATGTCCGTTTTCTACAGAAACCTTGGTCTTAGGCTGGACCTTTGAGGAGCCCAGACAGCTAGGTTTTCCCGTGCACCCAAGTCCTATGGACATACTGATGAAGTTGATGTAGCTAGGACTATTATAGGCATCCTTTAACTCTAAAAGTGCTACAGATTGTCACCAAATAATTCATATTGGCCTAAGTTAAAGAACACACGTTTGATGGAAACACTCTATAGTAAGTATGCATTTGTACTTATTTTACATACAGAGGTTAAGTTGTGGGAGGTATGCTAGCAAGGTCATTAGTATGGCCAAACTGAAGAACAGACTGAGATGGGACTTTTTAAATTCTGGAATTTTGTGAATATATTGCCTGTTTTAAACATTCCTAGTATTACGTGGGCCATTTACAATCAATGTAAGAAAAATATTTGAAACTGTAAATTAATGATAGAATTATTGCTCGTGATTGTCTTATCAGCTTTCCCAGACTAAGTCAGAATTAGTAAACAATGATGAGAACTGATACCTTTTGTAACTTTCTCAGGTTACAGAAGGTAGTGTTTGTTGTGAACAAAATTGAATGTACCAGAAAATACAAAGAATTAAAATTATCCATATTTAGATTATGAAGGGTTTAAAAATCACTGTTGTATGTCTGGTTTTTTTTTTTTTTCTGAATAATAGATTCACTTGTTTGGTATAAAGCCAGCAGTGACTGAATTTCCAAATGCAGTTTCTTTACAAAAATAAGAGTTGATGACTGCATCCCACTTGTATCCCACCTTGAGGTCAGGGATTCATGGTGTTTTCCCTTCATCTTTACCCCAGTCTCTGGAGGAAACATTCTATCTACCAGAAAAGGAAGCCAAAGATCTGAGAATGTCACATGCACACCGCTCACAGCCAAGAATCCAATTCCAAAGCCAGATCTCCACGCCCTTGCATTCCCATGTGCAGCGCCATGCTGCTCCTGCCATCAGTCTGGGTTTTAAGCAGGTCCAGAACCCTTCTAGCTATGCTGTTCCACATGTCCATCAAAAGACAGAACTGGGAAAGTCAGCATTTTGTCTCAAGAAAAAGACAAAGGCCAGTGTGAGGCTGGAGCCGGAGGAAGCGGGTGTGTTCACTCCATCCCTGGAGGAGCAGCATCTGCCGGGAGACGGCTGTGACCCTCAGGAACCAAAGTTAGCAAACTGCATGAGGAGCGGGCAAGCGTTTGAGTCGATTCTTCAGCTTAGGAAAGTGCACATTTCTTGGAGCTTGCATGTTTTACCTTTGAACTGACGAATCTTTTCTGGAAAAAAAAAAAAAAAAACAGGATAACATTACCTTAGTTAGGGTTTCTATTGCTATGATGAAACACCATAACTAAAAACAACTTGAGGAGGAAAAGGTTTATTTGCTTTACATATCCTGAATCACAGTCTATTAGAGAGATGCCAAGGCAAGAACTCCAAATCCAGCAGGAACCTGGAGGCAGGAGCTGATGCAGAAGCCATGGAGGGGTGCTGCTCACTGGCTTGCTTCCCATGGCTTGCTCAGCTTGCTTTCTTATAGAACCCAGGACCACCAGCCTTGGGGTGGCCCCACCCACAATGGGCTGAGCCCTCCTTCATCACTAATTAAGAAAATGCTCTACAGGCCTGCCTACGACCAGATCTTATGGAGGCATTTTCTCAGTTGAGGTTCCCTCCCCTCAGATGAGTCCAGCTTGTGTCAAGTTGACACAAAAATTAACCAGCACACACATTCAAGACCAACAGCTGATGTCCTTAAATGTGGTTGACTGTGTTCCCCACACCATTCATTTCATCCACAGCAGCTTTAGAAATGGCTGTTGTTTTCTTCCCTAGTTTAGAATGGGCGCATTGGGGCAATGAGCTTCTAGAACCTGCTAAGACCACAGAGCTGGAGCCAAGGCGAGGCTCACAACAGCCCTAACCACTTCCTCACACTGCCTCCTTGCCTCCTTAGTCTTCCCTCGGACTTTGTGTGTATACACTTTCACTGGAACGACCATGTCGAAAGTTGCAGGACCTTGTGTGAGGAGGCTAATGTCCTGCAACGTAGATGTCTTGAGCGCTCATCGTTCCTACTCCTGCTTGAAACAACGCTGCTTCAGCTGCCGGAATGAGACAGTTAGGTGCTCAGCCCCAGGTGGAATGGCCTCCGTGGGAACAATGGCAGATGCCTCTCCCCTTTGTCCTTCAGTGGCTGTCGTTACAGGAGAGTTACAAAGCTACTAACTTACCAGTGTTTTCAAAGAGTGTTCCCTGAACACAGTGGACAATTTTTTTTTTTTGGGGGGGGGGTGATTTTCTGTAATGGGCTCAGCTGGCAAAGCAACAGCCTGTGTACCACTGTTCTTTCTACCCAGAGAGAACATTTTCACAACCACCAAGTTGATGGAGTTTGCCAATAGGAGCAAGTAGCTTTGGGAGGGAGAAAATCCTTGCTCAGTTGTGGAGAAGCGTTCTGAGCTGTGGAAGGTGGCTGAGCACTCATGCCGCACCCTACCTGTCCACAGCCACACAGAAACAGCCCCGCTCTTCGTGCAAACGCTAAAACTGGTGAGTACTGACTGGTTGACTTCACCAAGGCAGATGCTGCAGAGGTACACACAAGCCCCTTCCACGGCTCCATGTTCTGTTTGGCCACAACCAACCCCCACCAGACTGCTGCTGAATTCAGGGAGTAACCCCCACCCCGCCACTGAAGGGAGAAGGGATTTCTGTGGGTTTGCGGCAAACTAACTCACCGGCTGATTCTGGGAATCCTGCATGCGCCAGCTCCTCGTAGAGCTGCTTGGCAGAGTCAGGTTGTGTCATCAGAGCCCCGTGCAGCCGGATGAGCAGAGCCCTGTAGCCGGATGAGCAGAGCCCCGTGCAGCCAGATGAGCAGAGCCCTGTAGCCGGATGAGCAGAGCCCCTGTAGCCGTGCTCACAGAAGCTCTGGTTACCTGTATAAGGAGAAGAGGCCCGGGGGGAAGCATTGTGCACTGGTACCTCTTTCTGACACTTTTCTAAGTGACTGCTGCCGTCCATTCATTCCTCCTCCGAGTGACGGGAGGACGCTCTTGCCATTCCTCACTGTGTCCTGCTATTCCTCCCTTCGGAGACAGGACAGCCCGGCCTGCTCCTTCTGTTCTGGGACACACCTCAGCGCACACAGGGTAGGGGTGGGGAGTTATAGGGCACTGAATGGCTTTGATGCCTGCCTGGGGGTAACAGACAATTCCCACAAGATATGAGGTCTTCTAGCAGGTCAGGCTCAAAGTACATGTTTTCGCCGGGCATCTTGTGCAAATGCAGATTTTTTTTTCCCCGTCGATAGGTTTGAATGACAGTACACAGTATGACAAGTTCCCTGGTGCTCTGTAAATCACTGGGCTGCAAGCCTGTGCCATACAGCCACTCCAATTCAGCACGTCTGTAACTCAAGTCAGGATTATTCATCCTGTAAATCCCTGAGACCTAACCTCTGAGGTGTTAGGAAAAGTGTTGGCATCAGAAGACAACCTGTTGTCACTTGGGACAGTTCACCATCGTAAACACACAATAGACTCCCTGGGACAGATGCCACAGAAGGAGCCTAGGATCTTGGCAGGAACAATGTGCTCCTCAAAAAAACTAATTTTTTTTTTCCGATACAAACAACATGTATTATTGTTGTATTGTCAAAGAATTGAAGAACAACATGTATTATTGTTTCTTCAATACCAACAACATGTACCAACATTCTTCATTCAAAATTCCACAAACTTCCCGGTGCCAGTTGCCTGGAGAATTAAAATATGACTGGTTGTGAATGTTAATGCCACGCTAGTGAGATCATACGTGTGTGTGGCTTACAGATGATGTCCTCCCAGAACCCTTCCCCAACCTGGTAAACCTTCCCCAGGAGGTAAAGGGAATCCTCCTGAGCAGAAATCTTCAAGAGTGAGCTTTTCTAGGGCAGCCCTTTGTTTCTAAGGCCTTCCATCTAGGACAACCTGCAGATTCTTCTGGAAAGCCAGACTGATACTCCACGGGCATGCCAGGGATTGTATCCTTGCTTCTTTGGTTCCCACTCAATTGTGAAGCCTTCGTTTCTTTTTTAGGCCAAAGCAGTCAGCCTTTGCAAGCACAGCTGACCGCAGGTTCTCGGGAGTTTAACTTTCTGCTAAATTCCCAACCTCCTTTGCAGACTTAGCCGAGCTGACTTCCATTGCAGTGATACCTGGACTCTGCCTATTGTGGGCTCTGGGCACTTACTTGAAGTGTTGAAGGGCTGCTGTTCCCAACTCTGAATGACTTCCTGTCCATGTCCTCTGGTCCGCACTCACCTGACCACTGTTCCTCGATGACTCTGATCTGGTCCTCCGTAAAGCTCCAAAAGCAGGCCAGCCTCTGCCAGTCCTTAGCCTTCAGATGTCTGTAGGCCAGGTTCCAGAGGAGTGTGCAGATGCGCCTGGTCTCCAGACTGTGGTCCTGCTTGAAGGTCAGTGTCGAGCTTGCTACTGAGTCCTGGATGTTCTCGTGGTACTCCTAAATGAAAACTCACTGTAGCCGGGTATTTGCAGCGTGCTCCCTTGCTACCCGACGTCATGAGTAATTGGTAAAGCAGTAGCTGAGTCTTGTTCATCTGTAATAGACCATCTTTTTTCATCCAAGTTGGACAGAAATGTCTGAATAAAAAGCATGAGGACTGTATCTGAAGCAGCTAATGTGAGTGATTCTGCAGTGTTGTGTCTGGGTTGCTGACCGGTATTTGTCCACTTCCAAAAACAACAGAGGGGACATGTTGGCAAGTGAAACATCACAACCAACAGCTTTAGTGGTCTGACTCTCAACACTGAGTCCTCTTTATTCTTTGGTGTATTGGATTTTCTCATTGACACCTCAGTGGAGTTCAGATTGGATACATCCTTAATAAAACCTCATAGCTTTTCTTTCTGCTCTCTCCTGAGCATGAGGAGACACTGGAGGCTTAACTCAGGGTAGGGGAAGGGAGGGGAGGGGGGGGGGAGGGGAGGATAGGGTAGGGGAGTGTAAGATAGGGTAGGGTAAGGCAGAGCAGGGCAGGGTAATGTAGGGTAGGGCAGGGTAGGGTAAGGTAGGGTAGGGTAGGGTAGTGTAGGGCAGGGCAGGGCAGGGCCGGGTAGGGTAGGGTAGAGTAAGGTAGGGAGTAGGGGACAGGGTAGTGGACAGAACGAAGTGGCAGTGGTTTCATCTGAAACTACAGCAGCCATGCTAAGCCCAACAGCACTGTGCCTAGACTGCTCTCTTGGGTTTGTTTTGTTTTTGTTTGGTTTTTGTTTGGTTTTTTGCCTTTCTAAGCTGCTTTCTGCCTCCTTGGTGGGATCTGCCACAGTCTTTCCTAATCAACCTCTCAAAAACATTAGAGGGAAGAGTCTCGGAGGAAAAAGCAAGTGTCGTGCTTCCTAGAACTACACCACACAGGCCATTAGGACTGCAGAAGATTACAGCTCTGTTGAGGGAATGGAAGGCATGACTCACCAAAAGGTTTAGTTAAGACGCCCTATCTCCCTCCTTTTTTATGTAGAATGACTTCTATTTTAGTCTTCCATTTAAATGAAAGTGAATCTTAATGAAAGATACTCTAAAAACAAGATGGGAGTTCATGCCAGGGAAGGAAATGGGCTAAGGGTATGGGACCCTGCCTTCCAAGAGTTTTGAGAACTTAGGAGGCCTGTACTCAGCCCTCACCACCTCCAAACAGCTCTGCACAGCCCTGGGGATCTCAGCCAAGGAGCAGGGCTAGGCTTTCTGCTGGTGTTGGGCCTTGGGTGCAGACACTGGGATAGCAACGGGAGGCATGTGTGAGCACTCACAACTGTTCACAAGACTAAACTGCAGTCTTCTCCAGTTACACTCTGTCTCTACCGACATGGTGCCATGTTTCCAGGAATCCTAAGAGTTGAAATGGGAGCACCAACAAAGTGCACCTTTTCTCCCCATTCCTCCTCATCAAACGACCTACCCAGTGAGATCAAAACATCAGAAAGCATGAGGAGAGAAGAACATGAGCATCCGTCTTCACTCTGTGCATTTTTATTTCTCAGAGAATCTTGCAGTCTTTGCATTTTAGCATTTGGGGCAGGGTGGACACTCACGCTTCTATAGGCAGGGGCAGGGGACTCGGAACACCCAGGTTTTTTCTAACAGGGAAAGCATTGGGACTGACCTAGTTGCTGGAGCACCAGAAGTGTGGAGAGTAAAAAGCATAAAACAGGTCTAGCAAGATGGTTCAGCTACTAAAACTGATCGTCGCACAAACGTGACAACTTGACTTTGATCCCCGGAACCTATTTTACAAAGCTGGGTGCTCTGGTGCTCATCTGTAACCCCAGGACTTCTACGGTGAGGTGAGAGGAAAAGAGAATCACTTAAGCTGTCAGGAGTAGTCTACAGTACCCAAGCCCAACAGAAACAACAGCAGAAACCATGCCTCAAAGTGAACAGCCAGCACCAACTCTCGAAAGTCGTGCTCTCTGTCCCTCTTTCCACACACACACACATGCATACACCACAATAATAATAAATACATACAATTGCAAATAGTGAAAGGCAGATTTAAGAAGCATCCTTTGCCTTTGAACCATTGAATTTAATGATGGATGATGGTTAAATATGTACGTGTGTGTGTGTGTGTGTATATATATATATATATATATATATATATATATGACACAATATATAGGTAATTTAAATAGGATATGCATATAGTTAAATATGTATGTATATAGACACAATATAGAGATAATTTAAATGGGATGTACATATGGTTAAATATGTATGTGTATATATAGACACAATATATAGGTAATTTAGATGTGATGTACATAAATATAACATATGTAAGTAGATATAAAAGAAAAGTTCAAATTATCTCTGAACTTTTTATTGGTAATTATTTTGTACTAAATCAGGATATAAACTTGTTTGATTAATGAGAAAAATTATTTAATATAATAACTGCATTTGGTAAACTTTAAAAAGAGAAAGAGAAATTAATGCTATTTATTTAAAAACAAGTTTTCCCAGCACCACAAACCTCAGGACTCCAGCTACCAGGGTTCTCAATGTACTATTCCCGTGGTCTCCCTTCAGCTGTATTTTTTTTTTTTTTTTTAGAAAAGAAGGGTTCATTTGGTGCAAAAGGTATTTGTTCTCATCTAGCCAAAATAATATAGACTGCTAACAGTCATTAAAAATAGACGGATTGAACAACTTGATTTTCCAAAGCGAGTGTAGCAAAACCACTTAAGGAACAAGAGAAAGGCAATCTGAGTCTTCAGTAACATAAAGATGATTAAGAAAATGAACAGAAGGATAAAGAAGCAAGAAGACCAAAAAAAGGAACAATAAAAATAAGTCAGAGGAGGAGGAGGAAGATTAAACAGACTTCTCCTTGTATATGAGAAACTGTTCTTTTATAGGCGAAACAGACTTTCTTGTCCGACATGCAAGAGCAGTTGCGAAGAAGCTGTGTAGCCATTGACAGACTCCATACACAGTCTTGGGGTGCACAGCTATGTGGATCATCATGGATCACACATACGACAGTGGCTAAACTGGCCTAGGTGTGTGGCCTGTGTAAGAGTGCTCAGCAGTGTTGACACAATGATCACATTGCCTAATGGCACATGTCTCAAGTTTCCTTGCCATTGATTAATATATGACTGTATATCCAGACTACTAAGCTCACTTCTGAGGGGGACGTAGACAGTAAAGAGTCTTGCTTTATGGATTTAAAGAAGACTATCGCGGGATTGGCCAATGACAGCAATCCACGTTTGTAACCTCTCTGCAACAGACATCCGAGCTGTGTGGACAGGTATGCTGGCATGACACATTGGCCCAGGAGAAGCCATGCACCCAGGAGGGAAACCGGGAAACAGCAGAGGTCTAGAAGTTGGGATTGGTGTCCTGTGTCTGAGCACCTTGCCCGAGGGCACAGACCTGAATCTTGAAGGGAAGGACAGTCTACCAAGATGTGTGGCTGGCAGACCATCAGAGGAAAGAAAGATAAAGATAAAAACTGGCCTAGAGATAAGATGTGTGTCTTCAAAGATTGTAATTGTCCCAGAATACTCGAGTGCCAGGAAGTCAGCACAGGACTATGGCAAAACCGTCAGAGTCAGGAGAGCGCAAAGTACTTCCCCTGTGTACCACTCATTGGAGCTTCTGTGACAGGTCATGGCCAGAGACCAGGAGACAGAGGTCACAGCGGAGTCGGTCGGCAGGGGCTGGCATGCTAGGCCAGCAACGCTGCCATGGATGAGGCTGCCTGGCCCATATTCTCAGGTCTGACTGCCAACGTCCACAAAGGAAGAGGAGGGGAAGAGGCGCTGTCCATCCCATGAATAGAGACAGCACTGGGAAAGTCATCATTGTACTGAGCAAGGTTCATGACAGCAGGGGGGTAAACAGAAGAATTATACAGACCCTCCATTCTCCATTCAGAAATAGTGGTTGCCAAAAGAGCCCCTGATTTGGCTGGAACTGGCTTTTCTTACCTCTCTCTGGTCATAATACCTCTCGGCTTTAATGAGCATATCCACGATGAGGCTGTGGTGGCTCCTGGCAGCCACGGCCAGGGCAGTCTTTCCTCACTAAATTAAAAAGAGGGTGTGGGAGTGATATTGCCTGTTAGATGGGAGCTCCAGCTTCTCAACAGAGACCTGCACCCAGATCCCCATTCTGCCAGACCTTAGTTACCAGGGTCTCTGCAGTTACAGCCAGGTGTCCTGGTGAGCAGTGAACGTGATGGTGCATGTAAAGCCCTTATGATGAGTGCCACCCCTAACATTTCCTGGCCTCCCTCGAGGTCAGGGATGAGACCTACATTTCACCCAATGGTATGTAAGTGCAAAGGCACATTCTTTTCCTGGGAAAGATTTTCGAAGAGAGGAAAGATGACATTCTCCTTTCATTCCTCCATTTCCCAAGGGGAAGGCTGACAGGACATCAAGAATCTGGGCAGCCACTTCAGATCAGGAAGTAGAATCCTCCTTTTAGGGAAGATGATGTAATGAGACAGTATAGGGCTGGATCTGAGAACAATGCCAATAATGACAAAATGATGCACAGTGTAGGATTCAGCTCACGGGCTCCCAGCTAGGAGTTTTGTCTTTTATAACATACTGCCTCTAACCAAGGTTGAAGTATTCCAATTTTAACCAAATTGGATGAGTAAGAAAGGACCGATCTGGATGTAACTTGGGACAAATGCTACCTGAAGCCCGTGTCTCATCACGGTGGCTGTCTCACCAGCCAGAGGGCATCTCTTGGCAACCTGTGCCCCTTGGTTTTGTGAAGTACACAATTTCTATTTCTGCATCTATACATGTTTTCCTGACAAAGGAGGATAGTTTATATTTGCTTTTCTCTTCAGTGCATGTGTGTGTGCCCATGTACATATATGAGTGTTCATGCAGAAGCCTGAAGACAACCTTAGTGTTATCTTTAGAAACACGTAGCACCTCCTTTGAGACAGGGTCTCTTATTGGCCTGGGGTTTACCCATTAGACTAGGCTGGCTGGTCAGCAAGACCCGGGGATGTTCCTGTCTCTGTCTCTCCACACTGGGCTTATAAATGGCGTGGCACCATGCCCAGCATTGGCATTTTTACATGGATACTAGTGATGAGAGTCAGATCCTCAAGCATTCAAGACAAGCACTCTATTTACCAAACTGATGCCCCAGGCCCCTTATCTGCATTTCAAATGACCTATGACATATTCTAAATTATCTTTGACTCTAAAGATAGTTTAAAGTAATGGTCAGAAATAACTCCAGAAAAAAATTGCAATTTAGAAAACTGTGTTTCTAACCGTAAAGATGCAGAAACCTCTCTCAATAGCTCTTACATGTCTGGATAGCAACAACAAGTACAGTTCCCACCAACACAAATGATATGCTGTTTAGTGCAGGCGCTAAGACCCAGCTGAGCTGGGAAGTCGGGACTGAAAGTACCCAGCCTGTGAGCAGAAGAGCTGGTAATGAAATTAGGAAGAATTGCATTTTGCAGGCATTTAGCAAGTCTCTAATTGCATACTGTCTGCATTCTGCCTTGTAGAGCCATTTGAATCACCATAATTAGCCTATTTTGGGAAGGCAGTATTCTAAAAGTCAGAATTTTCAAGCTGGAGAAACTTCCTTAAGGATCAGCACACTGGAGTGGAGGTACCATCTGCTCTTGACAACGAGGCAGACAGAGGCCAAGAGCTTTGTGATCCCCAAGTTAGAGTTACATCAAGCCTTTCTCATCTCCTTTTTCAGTCTCTCTCTCTCTCTCTCTCTCTCTCTCTCTCTCTCTCTCTCTCTCTCTCTCTCTCTCTCTCTCTCTCTCTCTCTCTCAGCATCTCACTATGCAAGCCTGACTAGCCTGGAACTCTGGCACTGGAATTTACTATGTAGACCAGGCTGACCACAAACTCCCAGACACCCATCTGCCTCTTACTCCAGAGTGCTGAGATCAAAGGCCTGTGTCACCATGCCCAACTACCCATCCAGACTTGAACACAGCCGGAGAAGGCCTGTGTCACCATGCCCAACTACCCATCCAGACTTTAACACAGCCGGAGAAAGACTTACTTTTGGGAGCAGGTAGAAAGGGTAGCGCTTATCCATTAGTTGAATGTATACTAGTGCCTGCCATGGGCCAGACCCTCAGAATGAAGAAGCAAAGGAGAAGGGTGGGGGGGGGGGGATTGCATCCTCGGGCTAGCAACCCCAAGCTTTGGGTTACAAACAAGCAAAGGAGAGTGATGGTACTGACCTCGACAACTGGTCCAGCCAGTCCACTAGCACCAGGCGCCCCACAAGAATTCCTACAGAGCCTCTACCCAGCAAACTGCCTTGGAGGAATTAAGTGTGAAGAGAGACACAGAGCAAGTTACTCTGAAAAGAATGAATGGGAAAACACCAGGGCTGAATGTTAATGAAGTCAACCAGCCACATCTGGGGACTAAGTGGCATTCCACCCAAGTCTAGGCCCTAGGGTAGGTGGTCACGTTTCCTACACTTTTCTATGTTTACCACATTGCCCACCGCTTGTGTGACTTTTATGATTTAAAAAAAAAAAAAAAGTAAAATAACACCATGACCTCAGATCACACATATGCAGAACTCATGACTTGGAGCTAGAGAACCAGTGAGGCACTGAACTGAGGGCCGAGAAGGTAAAAACCAGAAAAGACAATGGCAGGTTTGGGGTTGTTGATTTAGCTCAGTGGTGGAGCAAGGGTAAGGCCCTGGATTCCACCCCCAGGACTGAAAGGGGCATATTGTGTATCATAAAGACATTCTGGTGCTCTGTGCTATAAAAAGGAATTGGCATGCACATGTTACTAGTTTAGCAAGCACACACTGTTAATAGTTTGTTTGTTCTGAACCAACTCTCTTCCAGGAAAAACCAACTTGATTCAGGCTTTGTGTGTGTGTGTGTGTGTGTGTGTGCTTTAATATGTATATTTTGTGGTTTCTTCAAGACAGGGTTTCTCTGTAGTCCTTGGCCATTCTGGAACTCATTCTGTAGACCAGGCTGGCCTCGAACTCAGAGATCCACCTGACCCTGCCTGCCAAGTGCTAGGATTAAAGGCGTGCACCACCACTGCCCCACTATAATATATATTCTTAAATGCATATGTAGAACTTTTTACGAATAGAGGGATGAGTCCATTTCTTTAATGATGTGATCCTTTGTAGCCTGAACACATACCAGGGCCGGTCCAAAACCCAACTAGCTGGATAACACAAACTGGACTCAATGGGGAAAGAAAAGGAGGAGGAGGAAGAGGAAGAAGAAGAAGAAGAAGAAGAAGAAGAAGAAGAAGAAGAAGAAGAAGAAGAAGAAGAAGAAAGGAAGGAAAGAGGAGGAGGAGGAAGAAATCTAGAAATTGGGTGGGCAGGGATGGGAGGGCAGAGATGGTGACAAGGAGAGCATTTGGGAAAGTAAAAAATGTTCAAAAGACAGTGTGTGGAATATTCCTTTACACAGTGTGAATATATACCGCTGTGATTGGTTTAATAAAGAAGCTGACTGGCCAATAGCTGGACAGGATAAGGTTAGGCAGGAGAACCAGGCTAAGAACACTGGGAAGAAGGGCAGAGTCAGAGGAGTTGCCAGCCAGACATGGACAGGAAACAAGAGGTGCAAGATGAAAGAAAGTTAATGCTACATGGCAGAATGTAGATTAATATAAATGGATTAATTTAAAATGTAAGAGTGAGCCAGTAACAAGCCTGAGCTATTGGCTGAACATTTATAATTAACATTAAGCCTCTTTGTGGTTATTGGGGTATAGGCTGACAGGACAGAAAAGTCCACCTTCAACATTGCATGAAATTCTCAAAAAATTAATAAAATATTGCAAAAATAGCATTTAAATTTAAATAAAGGGATATCATAAAAAAAATTGAGATGTGGGGCTGGGGAGATGGTTTCATTAGTAAAGTGCTTGCCATTGAAGCACCAATGTAAAAAGGCTTGCCCATATAATCCCAGGGCTGGGGGGATAGGAACAGTGGATCCCTGGGACTTTCTGGTCAACCAGTCTAGCTAAATTGCAAGCTCCAGTTTCAATGAGAGCTCTTGTCTTTAAAAAATAGGGTAGAGCGCTGTCCTGACATTGACCACTGGCCTCCAGGCCTCCATGTGCTACAAACACACACACACACACACACACACACACACACACACACACACGATAATCTAGGTGTTTTCCTGCCTATGAAGATGCATCCCATACCCATCTCTCAGAAGGAAGTCTGGTGTTCCTGTTTCCATGGCAGCCAATAGGGAGGTCTCCGCTGCCATCTCAGGAAACAGGGAGCACAGAGCAGTTACCATGTCAGTGACTTTCAGGTCACAGCCGGCCTTCAGCAGTGTCTCCACCAACTCCACATTTCCAAGATCAGCAGCCACGTGCAGAGGAGTCTGTTGCCTCTGCCATGAGAGATGTGCAATTGTTGTGGAAGCACAGTCAGGAGAGCACGCCATGCAGGCTTTCAGGGGAAGAGGGGCACCCTTATGTGGACACAGGCGGCAGTTGTTGCAGCAGCAGAGGAAGTTACACTTAGGTCACAGGCCGCCCAAATACCCAGAAATGAGCTCAAACTGGAGTACGGGATGTCTAGAGGCTAGATAAAAGCCAGCATTCCTCAGGAACTGGTGAAACAGGTTCCATCTGTCAAAGGGAGTGACCTCCCTTATCTCTGGCAGAAGGGACGCATGGCTACCTGTGGGGCTTATCAGCTTATCAAAGCCCATGCTGGCCTCCAGGATTCCTCAGGATCACAAGTACCTGTTATACCTGTCCTGGCCCTTCCCACCCCCGCCCCCAGTTGTCCTTGTTCTAATGCACACGGTTTGTGGCCCTCACTCCTGCTGTCTCTCTCCATTGCTGTCTCTCTCCATTGCTGTCTCTCTCCATTGCTGTCTCTCTCCATTGCTGTCTCTCTCCGCCTCCCTTGCTCTCCCCCGTTCTCTCCCTGTGCTCCGGTCTCTGTCTCCTGCTCTTCTCTCCGGCTATCTCCACTCTTCTCCCCCCACCATGCTCTCTCATGCTCTCTAATAGATAGCGCTTGCCAGGTCCAGTCTGCTTTCTTCCCTCTCTGCTCTGGACTCTTCCAGATGCCTCTGGATGTTCTCTCTCTCTTATTCACAATAAAACCCTTCCCCAAGTCATGGAGTGGTCACATCAGCAGTGTCTTTACTGTGCCCCCTCTCATAGAGTTACATGTCTGGTAATGAGACATTATATAAACTACATAGAAATATATAGGAATATCTGGCAACTATTAAATCCACTTCAGAGCTAGGTGTGTGGTCATGGAACTGTAGTCCCAGCCTCATGGGAGGCTAGGGAAGGAGGACTCCTTAAGCCCAGGAGTTTGAGACCCATCTGAGAAGCGTAATGAGACCTTGTCTCAAAAAATTTTTTTTCAGCACATGGTACATAGAGTTGACAAATTCATAATGACAGGAAGGATGGCGGTTTCCAGGGGCTGGGGAGTGGGAAAGGGGAAGTTCTGTGATGTTACGGAACTGTACACTTAAAAATAATTCAAATGATAACTGATGTCACGCATTTTATTGTAATAAAATGGCTTCGAAGATTTATATAAAGGAAAAACTACTGATAACATATTAAAAGGTAAAGAGATGGCTCAGTAGTTAAGAACACTAGCTATTTTTCCAGAGGACCTGGGTTCAACTCCCAGCACCCACATGGCAGCTCATAGCAGTCATAACTCCAATTCCAGAAGGTCCAACACCCTCACATAGACATACATGCAGGCAAAACACCAATGCACATAAAATAAAAAAATAATAATAATAAAAAGCTTTAGGAGACAAAGGCATTATATCTGGCTAAGCTTAATCTATAAACACATAGAAAAAGAGAAAGGAATTCATTGATAGTTAAAATGGTGATGTCAAAAGGGGGCACCAAAGATTATTTTATTGCCTTCTTGATGCTTTACCGCATTTTTTATATTATTGTGTATTAAGGAGTGAAAGACTTCTAACTTCACAATGAAGTAGTTGCTTCCTACCAAGAAGATAAAAGTGTACTCCATGTCAACAAAAGATCATCACCCTGACCTCCTACAGAAAGGAGCGACATGAAGACATCTAGATGGACAGGAACCTTGGGTGTCGTCTAGACCCACTCCTCCACCAGGCTGAAGGGCAGGTTCCCTTCCGACCAAAAAAGGCAAAGCCAAGTTGTTTAACTAGGAAAGGCCACCAGCAGGTGGCAGTGTGCCTCTCTGGGGGCTCATCACCCAACACAGGAACCAGTAAATCTATCAAAGGGCTGTCTATACCAACACAGGACACAGGTACAAGTGTGCTATTTCAACAAAAGCGTGTTTGGACAACACCGCTCGCAGTCCAGAACACAGGAAACACCAACACAAGTGGAGCTAAAGGAACAATTGCCTTTTTAGACCCTGTCTATATGTCCTGATTCTATATACATTATGTGAAAAACGTAATTTTAGTATTTTTTATGTATATTACTGATGTAACAAAAAGTTTGAACTGATAAGGTCTAGTTATGTAACTGGCAGGCAGGCATGATAAACACTCCTTCCCTGGAGTGGGATCAAGCCAGTTCTGTAGAAGCCCAAATCGCACATGAACGCAAGGCATTGTCTACTTAGCAAACGGTTTTCACTTTAGGAAAGATTTGAACATTAGCAATTAACAACGTGGAATATGCAAATGTATTTAATAAACAGGGAGTTCTGCCCTCCATGTGTGGGCTAATGCAACACAGAAGAGGGAGGCTGCCCAAAGGAGGGAGGGAGGGGGTGCGGATAAGTCTCCCTTCTGCTGAGGTCAAAAATTAACCGAGAGGTTGGAGCTGGAGGGGACTTGAAGGGATCGAGTCACGCTGTTTCAAAGGGAAGGAAATGGGGACGGGGTAGGTTGGGACAGGTATACCCCACATGACAGCTTCCCCCTAACTTAGGAGGCACAGGAGGAGATTGTCTGGAAAAGGAGGCTGTATGTGGCTCAGACCCCCAGAAAGGCTTCCCCCTGCCTGCCTCCCCTGGAAGGCAGCAGCTCCCAGAGGCCACAGGAGCCCCATTGTTTGCTGCTCCACCGGGTTCCATCTCCAGCTGGCGGGGATGGGTGGCTTTTATGGGTTATTTGATTCTGTCCCGGTTCATTTCACCGAATACCTGGTGATCGTTTTATTTGTTTGTTTTAATTCTAAGAGTCTCCTTTACCTTCTGGCATAGAAGATACTTAATAGGGAAACAAAGCTTCCTTCTGACGGGGACCAGCTTTCAGCCAAGGACAACATTTCACACTGTAGGAGCAGCTTTTGATTTACAGGGCTTCTGGCAATTTGCCTTGGCACTGTTTACCAAAAACCCTGGCTACGCCTCTTAAAAATGGAAGGCTTGATTACACATCCACAGAATCCGCGTTTTGCCTTTGCAGAAAACAGAAGTGTGGGGACAGGATACTGGTTACAGAAGAAACGTGATGAAAAAAGGATGCGGATGTTCCCCACCCCACCCCACCCCCCGGACATTTTTTTAGGCACCTTGAACCTAAGCAGAGCTCCCTGCTGTCGCATGGTGTTGAAACCTGGAAATTCCGAGTTGAAACACAGGAGAACAGAGTATCCAGGCTCCTGCCTGCTTAGCTTACCTGATCTAAGATGTCGACATCATGCTGAGCACTTAATAGGATGTTTACAACTGTAGGGTGGTTGTTGATAACTGCTAAGTGAAGAGGTGACTCCTTGGGCTGCAGAAAGAAAGACAAAAATTGCAAATTCAAAAGCATCTAGCTTCAGCATTCAAACCCCGAAGCAATTCATTTCAACCATCACTCTCTGATGATTTCTGAGAATTAAAATAGTCCACCTCAGCGTGGGACCCGCAGGAAGACTTGAGCAATCATTACCATCCCCTTGCTGCTGGCTGGGCATCCTGGGCATATACAACAAACACCTACTATGGGCCTGTTTCTTCAGGGTTAGAGATTTATCTGTTTAATGAAGTCACTGTGGGGTTTCAAACTTGGGACAAACAGCTGAGATGCCTATTTAACATATCAAAGAAGACACTGGCCACTAGGTTGTCCTGCCTCCCTCAGTTACTAGGCCCTTCTGGCTGGCAAACTCTACCCCCTACCCTGAACTCTCCAGTCCGGGGGCTGGGCTGCTCTTCCCTATTTAATCCAACCATTGTGGTTAGCTGTCCCTTTTTGGACCTTTGGCCTCCTGGCTGCTGCCCCTGGTTCCCCTCTCTCCCCTCTTCCTTCCCTTCCCTGTCTCCTCACATGGCCCAGCTCAGGCTGGTCCCGTCCACTCTGGACTCTCCCAGATGTCCCTGCCTCTAGCTGTGCTCTCCCATGTCACTATGATACACTCACTCCTCCACCATACCTAGAACAGTCCTTTCCTTTCTATTGGTTTATTTATTTAGCTCAGTCACACACCACAGCTACTTAGTTTCAAAGTTTAAGTGATTTAGGGGAAACGTCAAATGTGCTGAGGTGGCCTGAGGAACAGGGGAGGGTTTGACCCTTCTTCCGAAAGCTAGAAGAGGCTTCCTTGAAGAACTGGACAAGGAAGTCTTAAGAGGGCTCAACGGAGGACTTCTCCAAGCCTTCAGAGAGCCAAAGGACAAAAGGAGTGGCCGCAAAGGAGGAAATGTATACGCAGTCAGCATTTCCTGAACAGATGCAAGCTGCACTCAGTTCCCTTGGTCCCTGGCTGGTGGTCCTGCCTACTTGGGGCTCAGCGTTCATGCGAAGAGGCCACCCATGGTGGGCTGCGGCCAGTCTCAGCAGCCTGTTCCTTCATCTCTTCCTTTGACTAAACAACCTATGTCTTCTTTACCTCCCTCCACCTGGCTCTTCCGACCCCTCTCACCCCTTCTGCTCTTCCCCTCTCACCCCTTCCGTCCTTCCCCTCTCTTACTCAGCCCACAAAGCCCATCGCCGCACACTGTCTCAACTGCCCCTGGCTACCATCCCTTCCTTCCATCCAGCCCCACTGGCCTGCCGAGCTCTCTGGGAGGAGAGAAGGCGGCTAAGGACTGAGGAAGAAAGAACAAAGCGGAGCAGAAGCAGTGAGGGCATGGGGTAAGCAGGATGAGGGACAGGCCGAGGGCAGCGTGAGAGCGCCGGCCTGAGGTGTGGCGAGACTGCAGGTCAGCCGGGGGGAGCAGAGCTGCAGGGAACAGAGTGGAGGAGGGGACAGCCATGCGAAGGAGGTGGGGTGGTTAGGATAACCTGTGGTGTCACTCAAGCGTACAGGCAATGTTGGTCGGTGTCCTGGCACACTCAGCAGCACTTCCTCTCGTGGTACTCATTGCACACTCACTATCCGCCATGTTCATCCCGGTTTGAAACACTAAATTAAGCAGGTGCCACAATCTTGGCGCTCACGAGGCCGACAGGGACCGGAGGATCTCAAGTGTCAGTCTAAGGCTACGTAGGGAGTTTCGGGCTAGCTCAGGCTACACAAGACCCTGGTTCAAAAACATGCAGAAAAACAAGACTGGGTTAAATAACTGATCTTAAAAGCTGTATCACTCACGCTAACCCCAGGAGTTGGACCTTACATTCCCTACCTTCCACACAGGCAGGTCGGTAACTACAATAACAAGGAAGAGGCAAAGGCAGGACCTGAACACAGACCTTCCAGAGTTCTCCATCCTCACCATGGGGACAGGTTGATTGACGGGAGATGAGGATCAGGGAGGGCTGTACGGCTGAGCCAGGGGACAAGGGTCACCTGAGAGGGAGACTGTGAAGGTCCCCTCTGCTTGGAAAGAAACGTCTCCCTCAAGGCATGAAGCAAAAACAAAGAGACAGCATCCTTCATCTCAAGAAAGTGGTCAGGCCAGGACCACCCAGCTTCTCCTGAGAACAAGGAAGCCTCCTTGGCCTGAGCTGGGTAAACTGGAGCCAATCCCTCTAACTCCACGCTCTAAAAATTATCGGACATGGTTCAGATCACATCCCTCCTTTCAAGTCAGCGCCATAAATAGAAATGGCTCAGCACAGGCAGAGGAAATAATATTCGCAGGAGAGACTGAAAATACAGTGGGAAATAGAGGAATGCTTCTTGTCAGATTCCAGCACAGAGGAGCTTTGTTTGTTCTGCCAAAGCCAATCCAAACTTCAGAAGAACCTCAATCAGTGACAAAGGATTGACTTTGAAAAACCACAAGATCATTCAGAGACGAGGAAACGATCCATTTTCTCCATATCCACAGCAGCAGAAGCAGCAGCCGCCGCCACGGCATTTTCCAGGCTAGTGAGATCCCCCACAGGAGTCAAGGCACCTCTAGACACCCGAGACTTCCTGCAGCAAGTATATCTTAAACACAAAGATTTTGTTTTGTGCAGGAACTTCAATGACTTTCTAAAATCCACCCCTTGGATCTTATTCCCCATGATTAAGATTCAAAAGCAAACAAACAACAACAACAAATAAAAAGCCATCTCGCCCTTGTGAAACATCTCATCCAGGGACATTTGCACAGCCAGCTTCCCTGTGCCAGCACCCAAGCCTGTGTTGACTGGCATGGACTTACTTCCTTCTTCTGCTGCCAATCAGCATTCTCACCGAGAAGAAAGTTGACAAGGGATGTGTGGCCATTCTGCTGGCTGTCTGCAAAGCACTGGCTGCAAGGAACAGATGGGGAGGGCAAGGGGGAACCCCATTACTATCCACATGCAGTCTGGTGCCCAGTACATGGTCATTAATTTACACAATGAAATAGTACAGCTACTTAAAAAAAGGAACTCCGATGTGTTTCTGATTATTCTGGAGTCTATCACTTTAAAGTGTCTTCTATTACCATATCATATAACTCCATGGCTGGGTCTCCAAAATTCATCATCCTAATGAGATGAGATATGGAAGAGGAGACATCAGGAAGTGGTAATGTTGTGGGAGTGGAGCCCTCATGATGGTGTCCCTGCTCTTGTAAGAAAGGTCCTCTTTCAGCTGTGGAAGGACACAACAAATGGCTGCCAATGAAGCCCGAAGAACATCTTCACCAGAACCCATCCCTGTTAGTGCCCAGGTTCGGGTTTCCAATCTCCAACTATGAGAAATAATTGCTTGGTGCTTAAGGCACCCAGCCTTGTTATTACTATTCATTTTTTAAAGTTTCTTAATTTTTATTTTTAGCAGCCTAACCTAAGACCCTGAGACACTATGACTCAGGCACACGTGAGTTAAATCCCTGTTTCCAGAATCAAGCTTACCACTGTGGTCCCAGCAAATCCTTCCCTTGAGTTAAAATAGGTGACTGGCACTGGCCTCAAAAAACCACCGCAGTGATTTCTGGCTCCTGCCTCTGTTTATTCCCAGCTCTCCTCTTTGCCAGGAATGGCTTCAAAGCTTAGCAAGCTTTCCACCTATGTGAAGTGTCGCTTCTTGGTCCTTTTACCCATTTCCTTTCACAACTCTCATTCACTCACTTCTACAGCCTCATGCCACTCTCCAGTGCCTAAGTATCTTTACTTAGTGCCTGAGCTGAACAGTACTCAACTTAAAATTGTGGTCTACTCTTGGTTAACCTTCAGTCAACCTCCAAACAGCCTAGCGTGAGAACTGGCAACAAGGCAAGCCGGTGAATTAGTTATGGTTGATTATCAGATTGCCATAAAATATATTCAGGTCCTCCATATAAGAACATTGGAGAGAACCGGTTTCTCAAAGTAGGCTGACCTACTTGCGGCTTCTCTATCAACAGCTAGGATTCATTTCTTTAATCCCTTGAATCTAGGTGGACCTGTAACTTCTTTAACCAATGGATAGAGCAGAAGTGATAAAAGAACCAGTTCCATGCAGGGTCCCTAACTAGCCTGGCGGCTTCCACCTCCTTCCTTTTGTACTGATGATTCTTGCAGCACTTCTTCTTGGGGCCAGCTGCCAAGCTAGCCAAGGGTAACCCCTACACAGAGGCCGCTTGTTGGTCCTGCAGTTGACCTCCCAGCTGACAGCTGGCAACATCTTCCAGATAAGTGAGTGAGCTGTCTTGGATATTTAGTCATGCATGACTAAAATCCTGGCCAACCTCTGACTATAATCATGTGAACAGACTCAAAGTAGGATGATCACAGATGGGTCCAGTCAACCCACTGCGAAAGTTTTCAGAATCAAAATATATTTCCTTCTATTCAGTCCAAATAAATGAATAAATAATACCAGGAGGTTATAAAAGAGGGATCTAGTATACATACACCTGCTGATAAGAGCAGTCCTGGTCACTTTTCTGTTCCTGTGACAAAACACTCTTACCAAGGTAACTCATAAAAGAAAGGGTTTGTTGGCTTCTAGTTTAGAAGCTGAGTCTATGACCTTGTCACGAGACATGACAGCAGGTAGGCAGGCACGGCACTGAGGCAACAGCTGAGAGCTTGCATATTGAGTCAACAACCATGAGGCAGTCAACAACCATGAGGCAGAGAGGGAGAGCTAAACCTGGAATACGATGGGCTTTTGAAACTTCAAAGACCCCTGGGAAGATCTGAGGCCATCTAAATCCGAAACCAATGTCTGAAGAACTCAAAGCCAGCATCCTATGGAGACTTGTACACAGCCCTATCGGCACAACATATGTGGCCCATGGGTTTTATAAGAAACAAAGGAGCATGTGCAACTTATTTTATTTCGTGCATATGGATGTTTTGTCTGCATGTATGTCTCTACACTACGTGTATGCCTGGTCCCCAGTATCAGATCCCCTGGAACTGGAGTTACAGACAGCTGTGAGCCACCATGTGGGCACTGGGAATCGAACCCCAGTCCCCTGGAAGAGCAGCCAGTGCTCTTAACCACTGAACCATTTCTCCAGCCCCAGAAATATGTGAAACTTAAGAAAAAAATAATAATTACTGGTTCCAAGATACCAAAAGAAAGCCACAAAATTGAAGTGAATAAATATTTAATTGACACATTCCTACTTCATTGATTGTTAAATGTAATATCATAAAATATTCATTATATTTGTAAATGACTTACAGTTTTCATTTTTTTAACCTCCTGAAAATTTCCAAGTATATACACAATGTTCTAAGAAATCAATCACTTATAAATTAGATGCAGTTCACTGAAGCCAAATAATTAAATAAAAATAAAAGATCTGTTTAGAGTAACAATGGTAATACATATTAGAAATGTAGGGATATTTAAATACATTTGATAAGATATGACGTAAGGCTTATGGCAGCTGATACAATGCTGAAGAGAGGCTAGTACCCAAACTGGGCAGTCTCTCCATCTAGCACAAATGGAGGAAGTCTGCTAACAACCAAATCCATGCTCCTACTCCAATTGCTTCCTCGGAAATGACTCGATTGTGTACTTTCTCTCATTAGTGACAGAGAGAGGCAAGAGAACACAAAAGTCATCTCCTAGAGGCCAAGCGCAGTTGATATCAGCAAGGTGAAGCGTTCCCATGACTAAACACATCCCTGCAGATGTAAAAGCAAAATGAAGTCTGAAATAATGTAGTCATGTGTGCTACCGCGGCTGGCTTCTTACTCCACATTGCTTATTTCCTAGGAGTCTTCTCTAGGACAATTGGGAACAGTTCTGGACTACAGTCGGTGCTGGGATTATTTATCTAGGAACTATGCTAATGAACAAAGGCAAAAACCTCTAGAAATAGTAGTAACTTTTCATTCCTATCACAAAGTACTTGAGGTGGGCTAATTTATAAAGAAGTGAGGTTTATTTTGCTCAGAAAGGAAGTCCAAATGTCCTGGAGTGGGCTCTGGAATGGGACTCTCTAGGTTGCATCGTATCACAGTGCTGTGGTGTGTATCTCCATCCACATGGTCTTTCTCCCTCTCCTTATAAACTTACCAGGATACAACAATCATGGGACTCCACCCTAATGAACTAATCACTTTTGAAAGGATGCGCCTCTAAATACCATGGTTGGATTACATTTCTGCCCTTGCCATCGTGAGGCTTTGGAGATTAAACTCCTTGGTAATGGGGAGACACAAACTTATTCAAGCAATGACTCTGGTAAAGCTGGCGTGGACTTTTGGCAACTCCCATCAGCTGAGGCTGTTGCTGAAAGAGTGTGGATGATGAGAGTGTGCTGTCCTAGAAGGGAAGAATGTGAGCGTGTGCGTGTGAAAATCACAGTAAAGCCAAACCCTGATGAAGGCAGAAGAGCAAATATAGAAGCTATGGAGTTCAGATGAGGGAGCGAGCCTCAGAGCCCTGCAAAGCAGGGAGGCCATCCCAAGGACTTGGAATAGATGCCCTCCGGGGACAAGACAGATTTCCACATCCTGAACTCTTTTATTTATTTTCAAAGATTTATTTTTATTACTTTTAATTGGGTATAGGTGTGTGTGTGTGTGTGTGTGTGTCTGTCTGTCTGTCTGCATATGGGTGTGTGCACTTGACTGCAGGTGCCCGTGGAAGCCAGAGATAGTATACCCTTAAAACTGGAGCTACGGATAATTGTAAATTGCCTGATGTGGGTCCTGGGAACTGAACCCAGGTCCTCTGGAAGAGCAGCCAGGTGCTCTTAACTCCTGAGCCATCTCTGCAACAGACATAGTCTGAATTCTTAGTCTATGCTTGTTGTATCAATAACCTTGCAATATCACTGAGAAGAAACTCACTATATTTGATTTATATTCTCTCTTAAGACACCTGTCAATGTCTGTGTAACTCTATTAACATTTGTTATATTACTTTTAATTAGTGTTCCATAATAAACATTTTATATAATGTAATATTTATAGTATGTTCATTATAGTTTCTCAAGATTTGTTGTATATGTATGAGTGTTTTGCCTACATGAAGGTCCATGCATTGCGATTTTTTTTTTTGCATTATGATTTTTAAAAGTAACATGTTTTTCCAATTGATAAATTCACCACACTCTTATCTAGCTGTGTCTAGATATTTATTACACTTACAGGTTGTATGACTTCTCTGGCCATTGATAGCAACTTCATCATCTAGATCCATGCCTTTTAAATTCTCTAATAACTTCCCATACATTATGAAGTAACACATTGTTTTTTCAGAAGGATCTACTCATGACAGCAGTTTACTAGGGTAGAAGACATTGTTTGGGGCGTTGAACCTTTTGTAAAGGAATTGTTGGGGTTTTATTTATTTTTGTTTTATGTGCATTTGTCTTTTGCTACAGGTGTCAAGTCCCCTGAAACTGTATTTACAGACAGTTATGCGCTGCCATGTGGGTGCTGGGAATTGAACCGGGGTCCTCTGGAAGAGCAGTCAGTGCTCTTAACCACTGAGCCATCTCTCCAGCCCCTGTAAAGGAACGGTTTACACATTGTGCTAATACAAAGATTAAAATAAAAGCAACAGCAAGGTGCAGAGTAGCATAAATTACATAGTATGCTACTGTGCAGATGAATGTCCAGTCCAGTCACCCTTTCCTTGTGAATGCATGGACACTTCCTGGGAGACTAAGTAAACTTCAGAGACATGAGTTCTGAGGAGCAGAACTGAAATGGAGAGTTGGAGAAAGCCACTTTTTAAATCATATACTCTTTTAGATACCATTTGAATTTTCTGTCAGGAGTTATTTTCATTGTAATTTAATATTAATCAAAAAATCTCAGTAACCCATCTGAAGACACAGCCACCAGCATGAGTTTCAATCTTTGCACTGGCATTGAGGTATGATCCTGGATTGGTTTCTTGCTCATTCTCAGTTATAGTTTGTTTTGTTTTGTTTTGTTTTATAATATAAAAAAAACTGAAGCTAGTAACATAGTTGTGGTGGTTTGAATAAGAATGGCCCCATGGGCCTATATATTAGAATGTTTGGTTCCCAATTGATGAACTGTTTAGGAAGGATTAGTAGGTGTGGCCTTACTGGAGTAAGTGTGTTGTCCTTATTGGAGGAGGTGTGTCACTGGGGGTAGGCGCTGAGGTTTCAAAAGTCATGCGAGGCCCATTCTTACTCTTTGCCTGCTGCCTGTGGATCAGGATATAAGTTCTTGGCTACTGCTCCAGCGCCATGCCTGCCTGTGGCCATGCTCTCCACTGTGAGGCTCATGGATTAACCCTCTGAAACTGTAAGCAAGCCCCCAATTAAATGCTTTCTTTTATAAGCTGCCTGGTTCATGGTGTCTCTTCACAGCAGTAGGATGGTAACTAAAACACTAATCTTGAAAGTTTCAAAGTCTGTTAGTGTCATGACTCAATAAAGTATTTTATATTTAGAGGCAGACAGCAACCTGCACCTTTTGGGCCCAGGATGACCCATGGAGCTTTCACACAGCAAACTTTTCTCTTCTTTAGTATCTGCAGTTGATGAAGTGGAGTCGAGTGTCTGTCATCTCACTGTGACAGGTCTTTTCTCCTTTTGTCTCCTTTTCAGTCATTCTCCAAATGAATTGGAGGAATGACGTTGCTTTCGAAGAGACATCAATGGAGACTATCTGTGGTAACTCATTCTAGTTTGTTTTGTTTTTGTTTTTTGTTTGTTTGTTTTTTTAAGACAGGGTTTCTCTGTGTAATTTTGGTGCCTGTCCTAGATCTCGCTCTGTAGACCAGGCTGGCCTCAAACTCACAGAGATCTGCTTGGCTCTGCCTCCCAAGTGCTGGGATTAAAGGCATGTGCCACCACCACCCTGCGGTAACTCATTCTTATGCAAAACAGAGCATACTAAAATTTTAATTCTATAAAAATCTAGTAAACCATCAATTAAGGACCAGAGTTCCAAAGCATATTCCAAGTTCTCCTCCCACAGCACAGATTGCATACACTGTTTGGAATGTCGACATCACTTCCTCCTGCCAGGAGTACTCGGCTGCATTCTTCATGACCTCCTTCAACAGCCAACATGAATGGAGTTTCTCCATTCTGACAAAAAGAAAAAGAAGTTAAAATTAATTTCCCCTTGGCATATAATAAAAATACTTTGAAAAACAGCATGCTTCCAATATCTTTTACGCATGATTCTTTTGTTGTTGTTAGCATTACTTAGCATTTATATGCCAACATACACTGCCAAGACCATACACTTTGGAGCAGTCAAATCATATGATAATCCTAGAAGGATTCATTTTGTCCCCATTTTATAGGCAAGAAAACCAAATAGCTGGTGATCAGAGCTTTCATCATCTACCTGTTTTAGCTACTCAGCCCAACTATTGTCAATTTCTGTCCTCCCGACCTGGTCAGTCCCAGGACACACCATGTCTTTTATGCACATTCACACACATACCCCAGGAAAATAAAAAGCAACAACAAAAGCCAATTCTCTCTGCCAAAGTCCACTGGAATGTTAAAACAGAGATAAGATATTGCCACCTATGTGAAGGATGTGGTTTCTGAAATAGATTCTCATGGCATATTGAGTATACAGCTATAACCATATTTTTCCCCATGTCTTTCTTGTCCTATGGGACTCCAGGGTAAATACACATTCCAAAAACAAATGATGACTTCTTCTTCTTCTTCTTCTTCTTCTTCTTCTTCTTCTTCTTCTTCTTCTTCTTCTTCTTCTTCTTCTTCTTCTCCTTCTCCTTCTCCTTCTCCTTCTCCTTCTCCTTCTCCTTCTTCTTCCTTCTTCTTCTTCTTCTTCTTCTTCTTCTTCTTCTTCTTCTTCTTCTTCTTCTTCTTCTTCATTCTTCTTCCTCCTCCTCCTCCTCCTCCTCTTCTTTTTATTGGAAAGATTTTTTTTTCGTGCAATATATTCTGATCACAGCTTCTCTTCCCTCAACTCCTTTCAGGTCCTGCCCACCTCCCCACTCACCCACCTCCATGCCTTTTCTTTCTCTCTTTCTCTTTAGAAAACAATCAGGCAAACAAACAGCAGAATTTAAAAACACACACAAACAAGAAACACACACACAAACAAAACCCATAAAACCACAAAATCCAAAACCATAACATTCAAGCAAAAACGAGTCAGACAAAAAAAATCCAAGCAATATGAGACGAAAAGTCTACAAAAACACTACTGAGTTATTTTGTGTTGGCATCTACTGCTGGGCACAGAGCCTCCCTTGAGTGCAGTTTGTATACCACTGGAGAAAACTAATTTTTTCTTTGCAAGCAGTTGTCAACTGGGGACAGCTGCTTAGAGCTGGAAGCTTGTGTCCACTTCCCCTTACCAATGCTGAGATCCCATCGGACATGAACCTGTGCAGGCTCTGTGCCTACAGCCACAGTCTCTGTTGTGTCTGGAAGACTGTGTTTCTCTGGTGTCATCCCTCCTCGCCCCACTCTTACAAACGGCTTCTGAGTGAATGAGCAAACTCCCTGGTGGAGGATACTTGAAGAAAATAGCCGGGCTCTGCATGCCCGCATACCTCATTGGTCGCATTTACTTCCGGCCACTGAGTTAGTAGTACCTGCACGGCTGGACCGTGGCCTTGCATAGCAACCCGACGCAAGGCAGTGCTCCCTTCCTGAAATGGAAACGGACTCCAGGTGAGACTGCCTATGCCGAGGAACACACCCTCCAACACCAGGCTACAGCATTGGCTTCTGGAAGCTTTTTCTTTGGTGAAAGCAGAATATAGACATTATCCAGTTTTAAGTAAAGCTTTAAATCAATTTTTAAGTTTTAAATGAAAAGCCTTGGCTTTTTGAACCAGTAGGAAGGAAAAAAAAAAGTCATTCTTGCTTGAATTTGGTACCACTTTTTTAGAAAAAAAAAAAAGAGCAACAAAAATAACTGGACCTAGCCTGTGTTAGGGTACCCGGATAAAGGCAACCTGAGCAGTAATCTTAATGACACATATCAAAAGATAATACGGTGCAAAACTCGTAGACTTACAATTCCACATCTGGAAATTTACCCTAAGAAAGTCAAAGATGTCCATATGAATGGCTACCTTGTGAGTTTTCCCTTCACAGTTAATGTGGGACCAAGTCCAAAGCAATCCTCAAGGAAGGATAGGAGAGGGCTGGGCCTTCCTAGGAGTGTGTCCTCTGTTCAGGAAACAACACATCACAGGCAGCTTTGAGGCCAAGTTCATCAAGGTTCTAATTTATAAGAGACAAACTCAACATGAAGTAGAAAAATCCATGAAGTAAACTAATTTCAAAACATTTATGGCTGAGAGGTAGCAGCACACACCTTTAATTCCAGCACTCGGGAAGCAGAGGCAGGTGGATCTCTGTGAGTTCAAAGCCAGCCTGGTCTACAGAGTGAGTTCCAGGACAGCCAGGGCTACATAGAGAAACCCTGTCTTGAAAAGATTTTTTTTTAATTATGAAGCAAAAACTAGCAATCATAGCCAGGCCTGGTGGTAGACGTTTTTTAATCTCAGCACTCAGGAAGCAGAAGCCGGTGGATCTCTGTAAATTCCAGGCCAGCCTGGAGCCTGGTCTATATATCAAGCTCCAGGACAGCCAGGATTACATAGAGACCTTGTCTCAACAAAACAAAACAAAAACAAAAAACCACCTACCAATCATGACAACCTACAGCAAAAAATGGATGGATTTTACCTGCACAGTCCATGCTCTCAGTAGTAACAGTTTAAGAACTCTACTGTGGACCAGAAAAAAAACCCAAAAACCTGTCATGCAATCTGCATACTGATTGTTAATCCCTACACCAACTGTTTCTCCTCGTTGTTCTCAGGAAAAAAAAAAAAAAAAAGAAAGAAAAAAAAACCTAATTCCAACTCACTTCATCCTTTTCTGAAGTATGCAGATTAAGGAAGATAAGTTTTTCAATCATTTCAACATGGCCCCTCTCAGCTGCCAAAAGACATGGTTTTCTTCCTCTCCGAAATCAATCACAAACTCTCTGTGTATTTCACACTCAGCACACAATTGGGATAACTGACAAGGAGTGGGTAGCCTTTTAAAGGGAATGAGGCAGCTAAGGTGGTCCTTCTGGTCCTATCAACCCCAGTCCCCTTCTCACGGGAAGGGGATGATAATGTCTCTGGACCTAAGCTGATCCAGTTCTGGGTTGCCATCAGAACTGTGGGGAACCCCACGCCAGCAGTGAATCAGTTTCATGGTGACAAGTGTTCAGAAGAGGTCCTCTGAAGCATCGGAGAAGCACTATATATATATATATATATAGTGCACCATCTAATGATCAGCTGCCGTTTCAAATGCAGCAAGAATTCCTGAATAGATCAGACATCAGCTAGTGCCAGATCCTGTTTGAAGCGCCCGAGCATCACCCTGAGTCTTACTGACAAAAACACATGAGACAGAAATTCTTTAGTATTTAACCCACGTGAAGCTCATTCAGGTACAACATTGATCAACTGAATTTTACTTTATTCTTTTTTTTTTTTTTTAGATTTATTTATTATGTATACAGTGTTCTGTTTGCATGTATCCCTGCAGGTCAGAAGAGGGCGCCAGATCTCATTACAGATGGTTGTGAGCCACCCTGTGGGTGCTGGCAATTGAACTCAGGACCTCTGGAAGAACAGCCAGTGTTCTTAACCACTGAGGCATCTCTCCAGTCCTGAATTTTACTTTATTCTTAAAGATGTATTTATTTTTATTTAATGTGTGTATGTAAACCTTGAGTGCATGTATGTGTATCATATGCATGCAAGGTGCCCTCAGAGGCCAGAAGAGAACATTGGATCTGCAAAGGAGGACCACCCCCCATCAGAGTTGGTACAGGACACACCTAGATACCAAATTCTCAACACAAAGGAGATTTATTACTCAGGAGGGGTTGGGGAGAGGGTGGGTGGGTGGGGGCAGGGAAGCTGCAAAGACAGACGACAAGCAGTTGCAACAATAAGCAAGCAACAAGCAGGTGTTGTTTTATTTTTGTTTGTTTTGTTTTTTGTTTTTTTGTTTGTTTTTGCAGGAGTGGGCTTTTAAGGGGAAAAGGGGGAGTCTATGCTAGGGTGAGTTGATAAATCCTGATTAGCCATGTTAGCCAAATAATGAATGTTGATTGTTGGACCTTGGTGTTTTTCTCAGGAATGAGTCAGTGGTCAAATAAGGGAATGGACCTTGGGGGATAGTTTTAGGAAATTAATCTAATGTGTTTTGTTTTGTTTTCCGAGACAGGATTTCTCTGTGTAGCTTTGCACCTTTCCTGGAACTCACTCTGTAGCTCAAGCTGGCCTCGAACTCAGAGATCCTCCTGCCTCTGCCTCCCGAGTGCTGGGATTAAAGGTGTGCGCCACCACCATCTGGCCCAATCTAATGGTTTTTAACAGGTGGGGAAGGGGAAAAGGCAATTCTTGCCAGTGCCATATTTGTCATGGGTAGGCATGTGTTTGCCATGCTCGGGCTTACTAGAGCTCTTCTGGATCACCTGGAACTAGGGTGAAAACAGTTGTGAGCCTCCATGTTGGGGCTAAGAACTGAACCCAGGTCCTCTGCAAGAGCAGCAAGTGCTCGTAACCACTGAGCCAGCTCTCCAGACTTCCCATAATCAAATTTGAGGTCATATTTGTGGGGTCCCTAAAACAGGTTGACCACACAGCTGCCATGACAGGCTTAGGGGCCCAGACACAGCTGCCATGACAGGCTTACGGGTAGGTACCACCTGGTCCCCAGAAAAAGCCATAAATTAACCCCACCCAGGGAGGGCCAGCATCTAAGGGGAAATACCCAACATGCCAAATGTTCCCAGCACACACTTAGACCCCTAGACAAATGTCAACCAATCAGGGTCCTGAACCCTGGAAATCCCCTCACCCCAACCTCTGCTATGATAAAAACCCTACCCAGCCCAGGCTCTGGGCTCTCTGCTCTCACCGATGTGTCGATGTGTTAATGCATCGGACAGACAGACAGAGAGAGAGAGAGACCAAGCTCCAAGCTTGAAATAAAGGCTCTTTGCTTTTACATATGGGATTCAGTCTCTGTGGTGGTCTTTTGGAAGTCCCTGTGATCAGGGCATAACAGTATTCACTGGTTATATTTCTAAGAATCAACCAGAGAACTCTTGAGGGTGGGTGAAAGGATGATAAATGGCGCTGGTTACCGTGTGGAAAGGTCACGGTCACGACAGAACCCAGTGTTAGTTTTTAGAGCTTTATGAGGAGGGAAAGGGTGGGAGGGGAAAGAGGAGAGCCAGGCCTGGAGAGAAAGGTGGTGGGGCGGAAGGAGGGAGCAGAGCAGAGAGAGAACAGAGAGCAGAGAGAGAGAGAGGGTGGGGGTCTGCGTCCGGCTTTTAAGGCACATACGTAGTCACCAGCACACACTGATGATGTAAGACTCAAGACCCCAAACTGCGCATGTGCTGTCACGTAGTGGTGCATCTGGCGTGGTGCAGAATCTTAACAGTGGGTCTATTTGAAATGGAAAGGACAGGCTGTGGTGGCGCACGCCTTTAATCCTGGCACTTGGGAGACAGAGCCAGGTGGATCTCTGTGAGTTCAAGGCCAGCCTGGTCAACAGAGATCCAGAACAGGAACCAGACAGAGAGACCCTGTCTTTAAAAAAAAAGAAAAAAATGAAATGGAAAGGAAGAATGGAGCAGAGACATGCAGAAACTTCAGTGAAGAGAGGCGTGTTTATATATGGTTCTTCAAATATAGAATTTTTGAATAATGGTAATTTCTCCAAGTTTTCCTGTTGGTATTGGAGACTGCATTTTCAACAGCCAAAATGTCATCAAGAAAAGCAAAAGATGTACAGAAAACTTAATTTTTCAACTTCAGCTATTTTTAAAAAAGAAAAAAGAAACTGGATGAATTTTCTTCAGCTAAAAAGAAGGAAACTCAGCTTGGCTTAATGTGTTAACTGAGAGTTTACCAAGATGCCTTTAATGTAAAGAGGGTACAAGATTGTATAAATGGCGTTCTGAATCTGTCAGCTAATCGCTTGCTAATGATGTTTAACAAAAAGATCATGATCACTCTTTGCTTATAAGGGAGGGGAAAAGGCAGAGAAAGAGGCTAAAATAGTCCAGTGCCTATTGGACAAAATGAAAAACATCTGCTGAGATCAGCCTTATGGAGATCTCTGTCCATGAATGGGCAGAAGCCAGAGAAATGGACCAGCACCAAAAAGTTTGAGTTATCCATTGTTCTTAGGCTACATGCATTATCAATAAGACCTACATCTCCTGGTCTTCAAAGCTAGAAGGGTTCGCTGCCTTGATTATTCTCAGGAAATCACCACAGGGTCATGGGAAGGAACAGTTAGGGTGGAGTCACAGTTTCCCGCCTGCACATTGGGCTATGACTGAAGGACAAAACCTAGTGCATTTGAAAAGGACAGGCTGATAGTTACTGTATGTGACTTACCACAAATATCCACAAATGGCAACAGCAGATGAAGAGTCCTGTATGATGATGGTCTGTATGTCAAATGTGTTGCTGATTGGTCAATAAATAAATCACTGATTGGCCCGTGGCCAGGCAGGAAGTATAGGCAGGACAAGGAGGAGAATAGAGCTGGGAAGTGGAAGGCTGAGTGAGAGAGACACTGCCAGCCGCCATGATGAGAAACAGCATGTAAAGATGCCGGTAAGCCATGAGCCATGTGGCAAGGTATAGATTTATAGAGATGGATTAATTTAAGCTATAAGAACAGTTAGCAAGAAGCCTGCCACGGCCATACAGTTTGGAACCAATATAAGTCTCTGTGTTTACTTGGTTGGGTCTGAGTGGCTGTGGGACTGGCGGGCAGAGAGTTTGTCCTGACTGTGGGCCAGACAGGAAAACTCTAGCAACAGAGTCCCATAAACAACTTTGGTGATTAATCTTATTTATCAACTTGACCGAATTATGAGACGGCCAGGGACATTAATAAAGCACACCTCTAGGAGTGTCTGTGAGGGCGTCTCCACGAAGGATTTGAAGTTGCTGCGGGCTTTGACCTAATGAGTGGTTTAATCCACTGATGGATTTGAGTTTTGAATAGATTATTGGTGGTGACAGAAGGGTGGGAGATGGGCCTGGCTGGAGGGTGCCGGTCACTGAGGGCCTGTCCTTGGGGCCTGTCCTGTGCTGGCTCTGTCCTACTGTGCTCAGCTCTGCTCCCTCGCCCCACCATGGTGAAAGCTGCTGTGCTCTGCCACACACTTCCTGGCATGATAAATAAAACCTCTGCAGTCATGAGCTACGATAAATCTTCCCTTGTTTTAAACTGTGCTCTTGGGTGTGTGTGTGTCCTTAGTGAGAACAAAACCTAAGTAACACGTAAATCATGAAAAGGGGAACAAGAGGTGCCGATCTTAATACTAGATGAAGATAAGGTCGTCTTAGTCAGTGTTCTGTTGCTGTGGAGAGACAACATGACCTCGACAACTCTTATAAAAGAAAGCACTTGATCAGGGCTTACATACAGCTTCAGAGGTTTTGTCATCATGGCGGGACAAAGGCAGACATGGTGCTGGAGAGGAGCTGAGAGTTCTACATCTGGATCTGGCTTGAGTATTTGAAACCCCAAATTCTACTGCCAAAGGCCACATCAAAGAAGCAGTAGGTGGCAATTGACTTCAGGGATGAGCCCACCAGCATCCAAGGCACTGATGGCTGAATGTCAGATAGGCAAGGCCTGGAGAGCCTCAACCCCAGAATGTCTCTTGCTACTGCTGTGTCTTTACATGTTTGCTCCGGCCATTTTTCTCTGATATCCGGCATGGTGTGAATGGGTGTGGGAAGATCCCCACTGCCTCTAATGGAAACATCCCATTCTACTGGGCATTTTAACCCGTGGATTATTATAAAGATCAATTCTTCTTAAACTGTACTGTTTAATTGAAGCAATGATTTTATACAATGATAGTGTTAGTTTAGATAGGATTTTGATGATTGAGGGTCTTTAATAAACATAGTGAG